AAGTTAGAAGTCCACTGTTTGCTTTTACTAGGGTAAGCTTGGTCCAGGAGGTGGCATTTTTCAAAACAGCATCAGCAAGGAGGAGAGGTAAAACCTTCTTTCTCTGAATGCATTTCAGCTGCAATCCATCACACTTTTTCTGTGGGGTTCTAACTGTATTTTCAGCTTACACATCTGGAAATTTTCAGAGCAAGAAAGCAACTGGGGGAAGGGAAGTATTGCAGCAACATAAGCAGTAGATTGATGGAAGCAGAAGAAGACAGAAGACATTCCCAACCACTGAGATTTAAATATTCTGGGAAAAAGGCTGGTGACATCTTAAAGACTAGTAAGTCTTTAAAGTGTCGGGGATCCATGAAAGCTTGCATCAGTATGAATTAAAGTGTTAGGCAGAATCCTATGCAAGCTGGGCAGAAAAAAGACCTACCACTCCTAGTCTGCCCCATCCTAGCCACCCACCCTCACAAGGTTCAGCCACCATGTCAGCCTGCAACTGGCCAGGATACTTATGCTAGTTTGGTGGTGCCTGACCTGCATGCATGGGGAGGAACAGAGTCATCGAGGCATAGAATAGTTGAGTTGGAAGGGGCCATGAAGGCCATCGGGTCCAACCCCCTGTTATTGCAGGACACCAGATTACACCATCCCACTCACATGGCTGTCCAGTTTCTTTTGAATGTCTCCAGTGTGGAAGAGCTCACAACCTCTCTAGGCAGTTAGTTCCATTGCTGTATTGCTCTGACAGTGAGGAAGCTCTTCCTGATGTCCAGCCTGAATCTGGGTTGTTGCAACTTGAATTGATTATCCCATGTCCTGCACTCTGGCATCAGCAAAAAGAGATCTTGACCTTCCTCTTTGTGACAGCCTTTGAGGTACTTCTAGAAGGATACCATGTCCTCCCTCAGCCTTCTTTTTTCAAGACTGAACATGTACGGTTCTCTCAGTCTCTCCTCAAAGAGCAGTGTTTCCAAATTCTGAATCATTTTTGTTGCCCTCCTATGGACCCTTTCTAATTTTTCTCCATTTTTCTTAAATCCTGGTGCCCAGAACTAGACATATTATTCTAGATGAGGTCTGACTAGTGAGGAGTATAGAGGAACTATTATTCTCATGATTTAGAAGTAATACTTCTATTAATGCATCCCTAAATTACATTTGTCCTTTTTGCAGCTGCATCATACTGTTAGCTCAGATTTAGCCTGTTGTCCACAAGAACTCCAAGGTCTTTTTTCTTTTCAGTTCTGTTGAGCCACATATTCCCCATCTTGTATCAATGCTTTTGGTTTCTTTTTCCTAGGTGGAGGACTTAGCATTTGTCCCTACTAAAATCATTCAGTTGATTTCAGCCCAGCATTCAAGTTTATCACTATTACCCTGGATCTTCATTCTGTCATTCTTCATTTATCAAGAGTGCTCTGCATCTTCATAGTAAGCCACTGTTGCCTATTTTCCCTCCTTGATCGTGCAAGCCCATCCTTTCTCTGTTTTAGAAGAAGGAATTAGAAATGCAGAGCCTTTGTAGTACTGGAAGGAAAGACAGACAGACAGAAAAAATAGGAAATGGGAGGGCAGTGTGCAGGTGAGTACAATAGCCTTAGAGCATCCATTGTTTTGCAAGAGGTTGCTCTTCTCTTTTCTCTTTATTCTTCCTGGTTAAGACTGAAACCATAGTTTGGAACATACATGCTGGCTCCCAGTCCTTCACAATGAAGCTGCTTCCCTCTTCCATTCCTTGTGTCATATTTTCCAGCTTTCTTCTAAACTGGCTTTCAGTCAACCTGATGTAGGTCTGTGGCACAGCATCTGCTTTGCAGGCCAAAGGTCCCTGGTTCAACCCTTGATCTACCCAACTAAGACTGGAAAAAGTCTTCTCTGAATCTCTGGAGAGCCACTGCCTGTCAGTGTCAACAATGCTGAGCTGGATGGACTAATGGCCTAACTCAGGATGAGGCAGCTTGCAATGCAATTTGGAAAATGCAGCTACAACCGTGCAGAAAGTGGTTGGGAGTTGGCCAAAGCAGGTCTGGAGAAGTACGGCCTTCTAAATGTTGTTGGACTCTGATACCCTCCAGACACAGGCATGCTGGCCAGTGGTGAAGGAAGATGGGAGTTGCAGAGCAACAACATCTGGCGGACTGCAGGTAGGTTCTCCATTCCTGGCGTAGTTGGATGAGGCTGTTACTCAAATGTGGAAAATTGTGTCTTGAAACTGGTGCTTAAAGAGCACTGCTGACACTGACGGGACACAACAGATGCCGAGAAGCAATAACACCCAGCATAAACAGCTGATGCTTATCGCCTCGTCCAAACCTGAAAATATATGAAGTCTTTTATTGTGCAGGACAGCTTTATCACTTACTCTGCAATTACATCAGCTTTATAACATTTTGTTTGATCCCTGCCACCCCGAACGGCCTGGCCCGTTCATTTGTTATGAATTTAGAAAGGGATGGTGAAGGCCTTCAGGAAATTAAAACCCCTCCATAACTGTATTACTCATCAACTGCACTTGCTATTCCTGATTAATATGACGGTATTGTCCTATTTCTCAGACGAAAAGGAAGCAATCTCTCTTGCTGCTTAGTCATTGAGAGATAAGGAGCTAGAATGACAGCCTATTTGCTTTCATGCTAGTCGGCATGAGGTTGTATTTCAAGTTTGGAGGCGTGGGTTGCGATGTAAATGGGACTTCAAAAACAGGGGGCTTTTTTAGCCCAGGATCAGTGCCAGCTCCAGGTTTTGGAGCACACCCTCGGTGGGGCCCCCTTCTTCCCTGTGTCTCCCTTCTGCCTGTCACTCCCACCAGTTCCTTCTCCTCCTCCTCCAGACGCTTGCTTGACTGGCAGAACAGGTAAGCAGTGGCAGCTACTGCCCTTCCTCCTCATTTTCAGCTCCAATGTCCTAGAGCAAGATACAGGTGAACAAGCAGGTGGCCACAGTGAAGAAGGGGAGCCGTTCCCGGTGGTTCTTAGCAGACAGGCCCTGCTGGTTGTTGAGCCTTCAGCAGGTGCCCTGCCCAATTTCATATAGTGTGCAATTGGACCTTGTAATTAGGGTTCGTGAGTAAAACACCAGTAACCAGTAGTCACCGGTAGCATCAGGAGAGAGCTATTATTGAAAAGATGAAGTGTTTCCCAACATAATTCTGGAGGCTGGTGAATGGAATGGAGCAATGCACCCCAGAAACACAGAAATGGGAAGCTTCCTTGTATCAGGACATAGCATTAATCTGTTAATCTGCAAGGTCCCATGAGTCTGTGGGACTCTGATGAGCAATATGGCAGGGCCAATGATATGCATTGAAGCTGAGGCTCCGTGCCTTTGGCCCAGAGTAAATTGCCCCTCACCCTTCTCAGTACCTTTGCAGCTATCATGTAAGTGGGTTAGTATTCTTATGCTCATAATATACTTTCCAGTGCATTTCCAGAGTCAGTTCAGGATGCTGCTTATTCAGACCAAGACATTTGATTGACCACATAAATTCCCACATAAATCTTTTTACCCACTGTGTCTACTGCACCAAACATTGTACTACATCCTGTTGCCTTCAAAAAAATATTTACCTAGACATATGATAGGACCTGTCCAGTGGCCACATGCTGCTTGTGGAGTTTCTTAAGAAAGGACTGACAGAATGTTTTTACTGAAGCTCTCGGCTAAACAGTGAAGACTTTTTCATTCCCCAAGCATTTACTTAGTTTTTCTTCCCCTTCTGCGCTACATGTTCTTGATTTTCTTCCTATGAGTCTAAAAATAAATTGTCATGAATGTAAGTTGTCTTTCTGAGGTCAGAAAGGGGGGAACTTTAAATAATTTTAAGGATCATAGATGGAGGGCTGGGACTGATGGATAGGAGCTTTCCCACAGTTGAGAATGAAATTGGATCTCAGTTTCATATTCAGTTCTCTGTATACCCTGGGAGTTCATGGCTGAGTTGAAAGCAGAATGGGATCATAGGCTCAAACTTTCTAGCATTTTGGTACAGAAGAAGCTACTGTATTGGCAAGGAAACCTACTGACCCTTCTAGATTTGACAGGAATAAGTAGGCTTCAAAAGTCAGTGGGGATATTTGTGGTTTTGATAGTGTTATGAGTAATTTTCAAAATTACTGTGTTGGAGAAGATGGTGTCTCCTTTGTTCTTACAAGCACAGGGTTAAAGAGAAAAAATGTGTGTGTATAGCTGTAGACAAGAGATAACAAGAAGGAACCAGGCCAAGGATGAATGTTTGAGCTCCATCTTGAAAGGGTCATCCTTAGATAAGGTATGAATGGAGGGAGGACAATTTCTAGCCTTGCGAAGGGAGGGGACTATAAGAAAGTTATCAGAGGATGAAGTAAACTATAATAACATTGTTCTTATTAATTACTGTGCTGTTCCAAGGCATTCTGCCTTACACGTGCAATATAGCGACAGCATCGCCTGCCATATTCTTAATAAAAATTGCTGGTTTGCTTGATTTGGCCCATTTTATGCACGATGTAACAGCTGCCAAGGGCAGCTTGCATGTTCACAAAATGGCAGCCATGGTGGACATGGACAGTCACCAAAAAAAACTCATCTTCCAGAAAGTAAACTGGTGAGACAAAAAGAAACCAGGTTTCCAAGTATGCTAAGTAAATGGCAGAGATGCAACATGCAAAACCATTTTGAACCTCTACAGAACGATGGTGCTGGACATTGGCACCTTACCTTGTAGCATGAAAACCCCCAGTTAAAGTGTGTGAGTGTATCTGTAGGTGGGTGTTATCTATGGGCACACTAGTGACCTGGCACCACGAGCTTTTCAACAAACCTACGTTGTGGAAAGTAGCCTTGTTTTGTTTTGTTGTTTTGTTTTAATCCAATACAAAATGTATACCACCCAAGAAGAGAGCAGAAAAGAAAGTGATGCATTCTGCTAGACTTGCCTCTTAAAATCCTGGTCTGTGCTATAATTCATTCTAATTGTTAAACAAAGAGAATGAAAACTAATACCAAAAGAGAGCAGACAAGAATTATGCACAATTTCAAAATATTTAGACTTTATTCATACAAAGGGAACCGATCAAATAGAAGAAGCAAAACCAGCATGCGCATCTCCTTTGTGTGTTAGATAGAGCCATATAAGTTACCATTACAGTTTTACTCATATATAATAGAATAATATTAAAGATGAAAGTTTTAAAAACCATTTCCAACTAAATTAAATTTTAAATGACTGACAATAGACTGCTACTATGTTTTGTCACCCACAGGTTTGCTTTCTGTACACCAAAAAGACTGGTACTGAGCCCCAATCTTTATTTTGAATTAGAGAACTTATTTAAGCTAAAGGCTTAACATGTGAAAGTGATCTCTGATGGAAATTAACAAAACACAATTCAGATCCCATCTCTTTCCCAACTTTCATCTCCACAGCAGTTCTATTTGATTATCTAGATCTGTGTAGAGGAATTAAGCAAAATAACTAAGCAAATCATCCACAGCTTCATTTCATGGGCATCATTCTGCATGCGGAACTGGAATTCCACCCTTGCGTTAGGGGTGAGGCTCAGTGAACCAACTTCCAAGCCATGACTTTCCCTCTCCATCTCAACTTAATCTTTATATAGTCACATGGCATTCACATCCTTTCAAACCTTGCTCGTTTCTCAGCCTTCTACAGCAGCCACTACAAACAGTATCAATACAGTACTGCTAGGATGTGATAAAGACTAAGTGGTGCCTGGATCACACTAATCAAGGCTCTTCAGGGGGCATTTGACTTGTCACAAGCCAGGTCCCCCCCCCCACCCCCGCCTGGCCTGTCACACTTCTAAAACACAGGAAATTCTCTGGCAAAAGTTCTTTCTTCTGCAGTGCATTCCCAAGCCTCTTCTCTGTCCATCGCCCCTCTAGTTGATCGGCCCATCTCTCCTGATGTCACGTCATGAGGTCAAGAGTTGTACCAGGCTCAGCTGGCTGCTGTTCTCCCACACTCCTTCCCTGCAGTTTTTACTATTCTCAACATCCACCTAAACATCTTTGGAGGGTGCCCTTAAGAGAAGCCCCTCCACGTCTTCCATTTCAATATCTGAGAATTCTGGTTCCCAGGACCCTTTGTCTCTTGACGAGACCACGTCTGCCTAACCTTGGAACGCGCGTCAATTTCCTTCCCGACATTACCTTTCTTCCTTTCAATCAGAATCCTCCGTTGCCATTCTAGACTCCTCATCTCTTCTGCCATCAAGCACTGCAGGAAATTAGATTATCCTCTAGTAATGAACAGGAAAATGCAGCTCTTATCCTCTGATAACAAATACAAAGTGATGATCTGGCTACACACTGCTTAAATAATTCCACTAACACATTCTGCTTTTGGTAATGCATGATAGGCAACCATTTCCAGAGGGACTGCTATGTTAAGGGTACTCCAGCAATAACAACATCTCACGGCACCTTCAAATTTAAGGTCTAAAAACTATGGCCAGTATCCCATGCTGCCCATCCAAGTTCAGGGCCCATCGCTGTTTCTGTTCCTTCTGTGAACTTCGCCAGCCTGCCCCATCCTAGAAATGAGCCATTCATGTTGCCCCAGAACTATTAAAGCTCCGTTCTGTGAATGGTGCATATTGTTTGAGGAACAGAATCAACAGGGCTGGCTGCATGCAGACAGTAACAGTTGAATTCTGTCCTATTTTGTTCTGGCATCAGTTTTTATGAACTGAGGTCCACTTCATCTGTTTCATATAGTGTTATCAAGAGTTTCAGCTATGTAAAGACCATACATATACACAAATTCACACTGAAGAAGGTAGGGGGCCAGATCAAAAGCAAATTAGATAAAGAAGCACTGGTCATGACAATCACATTATTAGCAGAGGTCAACCCTAAAGCACCTGCTGCTGGTAACACAAGCATCCTATTCAGTCAATGACCAAATAGACAGCCTCACAACATGGAAATCTATGGAGGAACCAGAACAAAACATCTCATTGAGAAATACACATAGCTGCATATAAAGCCCATAGTTGACCTGGAAGCTTAGTAATTTGGTGCATTCTGTAATTCTTAACAGTAGGTTATACTTCTGTGGTAGCATTATTATTTAATTATTCCAATACTACCATCAATGTGCATGATGCTTCAGGAATTTCACAAACAGAAAAAAAAGAGTGACAGCCACAGGTTGCTTCTAATCTGAATTGTGGCCAAAGTGAAGGCCAAAAGATGCATTACACAGGAGCTTTGGGTTTACAGTTCCATAAATTATTGTATTTTTGTAAAAAGCAATCAAGGGGGCAAATTAATTACATTGTTATTTTGTATCTTGTTTTGTTATTTTATATCTCCCAATTTATTTCTAAATCAACATCTATATTAGCATATGCAAATTCTCTGCAATTTGTCACTTTCTTTTGTCCACTTCATTGCTGATAAATTTCCTCTTTTGGGGGATTCATAGGTGGCTACCTTAACAACAAAACTAAGCAGGTGAGAGATCCAGGAGCTTGGGGGCTGGCAAGGGAAAATTGGATGAGTTATTTCAGAGCACAAAAGGACTTTTGAACAGCTGAGGTTGGTAGGAGATCATGAGAAGGAACATAGCAGGAAATGACGGTAGAAAAACAGGATGGGTCAAAGTGAACTTGACCAGGAGCACAAGAGCGTGCGCAACAAACTGTTCAACAAAGAACAAAGGTCACATACACTTAAACAAAAAAGTTTGGGAAAAGGAACTAACTACACTTACATATCATTTATGCTAATAATGAATAAAGTACCTGTCTATCGTTTAAAAAACATAGTATTTTATAACAGAAACTGGCATGCATGCTACAAGATCTACATAATTATAAATACGAATATCTATAGACACAAGATGCAATTCTTTACAAACGTACAAAAATACTGAAACGGTGAACACAAGGTTCAGCACATATTTGGTCTTGCTTTATATTTCATAGTTTCTAAATTTCCGCAGGAGTTCAGATGGGGTGTCACCAGACCAGCGGAAACGCAAGTGCCAACAGTTTAGATCTGAAAACCCTGTTGGGGAAAAACATAGAGGAAATTGCACTTGGATTCAAATTAGAAAACTTTAATTTTATTAAGTAAAACTCCTATAGGACAGCCAACAACTCACTGCCCATTTATTTCTTTAAAAAAATGTAGATGGAGGAAGAAGAAATGTGTCTATTCATGTTGTGCACATGACTCAGCCTAGCACTGGTTTGGACCAACACACACACCCTTTCAAAATCCCTTGAAGATTCCCAGATGGATGTGGATTCTCCTTAATTTGAAAAGCGTTGTGTCTGAGATGATACAAGAGTTGTACCATCTGCCATGTTTGATCTGCGATTACTCATTCATACACAGAGAAACAGCTAAGAGTCTTGTGGCACCTTAAGGTCTAGCAAGTGTATTTCTTTAGGCAGATGCTTCCATGGCCACTGCCCACGTCATGAGATGGAAGCAGACAGTGTCCACAAAAGCTTATACAAAAATAAATTTATGTCTTTAAGATGCTACAAAACTGTTGTTTTCGTTGCTTCATCTGCCATAGCTACCCTTCAGGAGATTCATACAAGCAAGTTCCACCTAGATACTGCAGTGCTCAAGGGATAATCACAAACATACAGACCACTTTCTGCTGAAGCTTATAAAAGACGAGAAGCAATACTAGAAAAGACTTTTTGATACGGCAAGTTAACCAAGGGCTTTTGCTATGGCAAACTTATGAACTTCCAGTACTTCATGCCCCTACGGACTAGAATTCTAGCAGGGAATCTGGTGCCCACTCCTGATGTTTTGGAGAACAGCTTCCATTATATCCTGACCACGGCCCATGCTGGATTTCTGCAAGTTGTATTCTGGAAGGCACCAGCTGCCTACTCCTGTAACAGGACTCGATCATTTGTACACACTCAACTTTTACTCGAATTTCTGGTTAGGAGGGAATCAGATGGGCTGCGCATACATGTTTTATTTATTTATTTAGGAAACTTCTATGCCGCCCCATTCGCCGAAGCCTCGGGGCGGCTTACATCCATAAATAAACATCCTTAAAATAATATAAATTAACACTATAAATTAAGTCGCCCTGGCCAAAGAATAAAATGAATAAATACTATTAACAATTAAAATGATGTTTGAATAAAAAGGTCTTCGCCTGGCGCCGAAAAACAAATAACGACGGCGCCAGGCGGACCTCTCTGGGGAGCGCATTCCATAGATTGGGCGCCACCGCAGAGAAAGCCCTCCTCCGAGTACTTACCCTCCTAATTTCCTTCACGGAGGGCTCCCGAAGGAGGGCCTCTCCCACAGATCTCAAGGGGCAGGCGGGCATATATGGACGTAAGCGCTGTTTTAGGGCTTACGTGGGTCACAGATGCTGGAAAAGCATAACTGATGTGCATACAAACACAGTGAAGCAGCGTCCTAAAATTAGTCTTAAGAGTGGCTACGCATTTTGCTGATTTCAATCCCGTCTCAGTCATCTGAAAGTGACTGCATCTAGCACTGAAATCTTTCGACAAGCAGACTACTTACCAGGGGAATCAGGGCTCTTAGGTGAGAGCAGCTTCCCATCCATGGGACCAGAGGCTCCTAGACCCTTTCTCTCATCCAGCACTTCAGCATTCTTGTTTTCAGCCTTCTGAGAATGACTGTCATTCAGATTTAAGTCCGGTGCTTCCAGCATTGGCTCTTTTTTACCTCTGACAGCCCAGTGCATTGACTAGACAAGAAAGGAAGGGAAGAAGATTGCTTTTATGAACTGTATTGTAGTGCATTTGCTCATCAAAAGTTGCCCTCAAGAACAAAGCAGAGGCAAACAGATGTTTGAAGAGACGTTGAAAACTAGTCTTGTGGAATTCTAGTGTTACTTGGAAGGGATCCTATACATATGACTGCAGATGGGGAAGAAAGGAGCTGAATTTGGGAGTAGTTCATGATTTGTTGCAGGTTGTGCTACTGTTGCGTAGAGGAGAGGAGTTCATTTTAAAAGCTGGTCAGGAGATTTGGTGGTGGTAAAATGGGGAATGGGGAAAGTAGAAGCCGCTTTTACTTTCCCAGGCATTTTAAATCTGTTTCTGTTTGAAATCTGGTCCTGTATTTTCAATCTTTGCACTGCTGCTAAGTTCTTCGGGTTTTTTATACTGCATTTAATGCTTATATTATTATTTCATTGTGTTGTATGTCATGGTTTTAATGGTTATGAACTGCCGAAAGAGTTTTGGCTATTAGGCAGTAGAAGAATGTCATAATAAATAAATCTCCCACCACCACCCTCACCCAAACTATATTACGCAGCAGACAACGTTCCTTCCCACAGACTGGCATCATTATTCTATTTCCCAGGAAGTGCTGATGCATGGACTCACTGTTTTGACAGAGTCATTCAGAGCTTCCCACTGCTGAAACGGGATCGCAATTTTGCTTCTCCGCCAGTAATCGTAACGATCTCGGCTTTCTTCATTGGTAAGAATCTCTTTAGCGTGCTGCAGCTTTTGAAAATTCTCCACTGTAAACCAGAGGGAAGAAAGCTTTAACAGAAATATTCCAAGATGTGTCAAATCATAATGAAATTAATCTCTTGTAAGATCTGAATCCCCAACGTCACTTTTGCCTTTATTACAACAGAAGCAGGGTTGGCTTGCTGCTTTGAAGGCTCAGTAGTCATTCAACATTCACTCCTAAATGAACTGCAAATAGTTCTTTAAAAAAAGAAGCCCAGACAGAGAAGTTCTCCCAGAGTCCAGTCCTGGGAGTTGTGCTCTGGGGAAACAGAGCTCTCCAGTGCGCTTCTGCAGGCTGACCTGACAGGCCAGAAGGAAAATGGGGGTGATTTTCGCCTCTCTGTCCTCTGTCTTTATTTTCTTCGTATCCTGGCTTCTCCCCTCCCCTCAGCACACCCCTTCTGGACCTCTCCAAGCAGGGCCATCTTAACACATGGGCCTGATGGGCACTTGCCCATGGGCCCCATACTAATCTGTGTATGTTAACCCTTGGAAAATGGGAAAACTTCCAAAATTAACAGTAGTTGTAGTTGTTGTAGGGGCCCCAGTACACTGCTTTGCCCGGGGCCCATAATGCTGTTAAGACGGCCCTGACTCCAAGGCAGCAGCAACCTGCAACCTGAAAGCAGCCAATCCAGCTGTGGGTGGAGATGGGTAGGAGGGAACAGATAATGGTCTGAAGGTCATAGGAAGGTCTACAGCCTTGGAGGGGAGACTCAGAAGAAACTTATGGTCCCTGAGATACTTTCCTGGGATTGCTCTTCAAATACATCTGTTGGTCAAAGCAACAAAATATAATATACTGTCTTTTACACATTACCTAAGAAAGCTGATGGCATTGAAAGAAAGATTAGTTGCTTGTGTTACATACAGAATAGATGAAGTGCTATCCTGAATCAAATGAAAGGCCTATCTAGAACAGCATTCTATTCTCTCAGTGGCCAGCTAGATAATTGTAGGAAGTCCATCGCAGGGGGCAAGCACATTAACACCATCCCTCAAATGTCACCCAATAACTGGTATGCAAAGAAGGACACACGTCCTACTTTTACCTTTGGCTAACGAGGCTTTGCATTGTTCCCAAATCCTGAAAAACTTATCTGACCAAAGATAATAGTGGAGTAAATTATTGCACATACAGTATATCAATTGCTTTCTTTCATATATCACTTTGAGCTCAATCTCCTGCTCAATCCTGAATGCATGAATTCAGTGAGTCACTTCCAAGCAAGCAAGCATTTGGTCAAAGCCACAGTGGGATGAGTCACCATAACCCATGGGTGATTTTACCCATGGGTTGTCAAGGACGAGAGAGAGAAGGAACAAGTTCATCTGCTGCCTCTGGGGTGCTTATCATTCCCACTTTCATTAACAACCACAATCACCCTGTTTGTGAGTTATTGTGATGTTTGAATACATGCTTGTTTAGGGTTAAAAACCAGAGTTGACCCAACAATAATTAACTTTGGGTTGCTTAACCCCTGGACAATCCAGGGTGTCCAGATTGGACACCACAATAGCAACCTATTAATGAAGCAATTGTAGCTTGTTAATTAAAAGCAGAAACAACGAGATAACCTGGGGCAGTGTGTTCACTCACAATAACTTATGGGTTCAGTTTACAAATTTTGAGTTGCTGTACATAAGACAACTTTTTGGTATGTACTTCCTGAACGATCCTTTTGCAAGTGAAAGCAACTCTTCATCCCTAGACAATTAAATAAACTGTTTTGCAGGTAACACCACAGAGTATGGGTTGAGTAAGACTTCTTGAACTTGGGTTGTTATGTGCAAACCCAGAACTATGGGTTAACTATGGCTTGTTAACCACAAACAGAACAGTAAGAGAACCCACGGTTTGTTGATGAGTTAGGTACTCTGAGTTGTTTTATCTATGAGTTGTTATTACATATGAGTCCAGAACCAGTGATTGTTTCACCAAGCTAGAGAAGCAGTCAAAAACCACATTAGTAAAAAAAAGTGGGAGGGGGTGATATATTTGGCAGTATTACAAAGCTATAGAAGCATTTGGGGTACAGCAAGGAAGCAGTTGAAGGAGGAGAAAATCAAACAACCCATGTATTGGAAAAAACAACTTGCACTGTGTGTGATCATCTGGCAGACAAAACATGGGTAAACTTATTTCTTGTGAAGTTAGAATCCAGCATTCTGGATTGTAGAATTCCAGAGTTTTGACTCAAAAACAGCCCATGGATTCAAATTCTGGGTTGTTTAACCCCCAACAGTGCACAGTGCTGGGTTTGGATGTCACAACTAACGACCTAAGAATGGGACATTCCTGGGTTGTTTCGAAGGGGGAAATGGGAGGAGGCAGTATACTTGCTGAAGCTCAACTACACAAGGACCAGGATATTGGGTAAATCTCAAAGACTTGCCTTCATTATCATATATAATATACATCTAACAATGGTTGCTTGCTCATCATATGATGGATCTCATTTTTTCCACTGTCCTTGCACTAATAGAAACGCTGGCCACATCCTTAGTAACCACATGCATAAAGGGCATATTGTATCTATGAGTCACCTTTCTATTATATGATCATGATGGTGATTAATATTATTTGTTTATACCAGCTTACTAAAAACAGATATTTCTTTTGAAATCCATTGAACTCAAATGCTAACAGGGATTGGAAACATAAATTAAACGTCACACAGATTGACTTCATTTCTTCCCCCTTGGTTGTCTGACAGCTAATTCTTACATAGAAAGCAATTTGGATGATAGGGACATACAGCTTATACAATGATGTAAATCAGATGAAGTAGACACATGCATACATTGGAACCCTGATCCCAAAATGGATGTGTTGTGTAGATAGCTCACATATCTCAACACTCAGTTTTGTCCTGAAGGGGCCAGAGCTCATGGTCCAGCACTTGCTTTGCTTGCAGAAGTCCCAAGTTCAGCCCAGGAAGAAAAAGGAAAAATTCCAGCCCAAAAAGCTGGAGAACCCACTGCTAGTTGGTGACTGGATATGGATGACATGCGTTGCAGCAGTTTAAACTTTGCACTACCCGTGTTTCTCAGGTTCCCATGACATGACAATCCGTGACTGGGGGTTGCATATTCAAAACAGGCATCTTCCATGCATGCTCCCCAGCATCACCACGGGCAAAGTAACCCACAGTGGGCTCTTACGCTGCACAAACAACCTCGGTGTTAATAGTACTAGGCTTGATGGGTCAGTGGTCTAATGCAGTATGAGTTTCCTATGTTACCATACTTCAGCTGCAAATGGCAAGCAAATATCTATTTATCGAGACCCAAAAACATTTTTAAAAGGAAAAAATGACTTTGAACCATTTTGAGTGGTTCAAAGTGGCAGGGTTGGTTCTCCACAGTATTTTCTTCACTCTAGTTGTCCTCATTACAGCTTTTCCTCCAAGGTTCAAAATTGGTGCTTACCTAGGGGATCAGAAAGCCATTTGGGAGCAAATTGGGGTAGATAAACAGCAAGCATGGAAGGGGATAAAGCATTTTTACCTGCAATCTTTCTGCTCAAAATTGCCCCCTTCCAAAGTGTTAAAAATATGATGACAAAGAAAAGCTATACACTATATTGTATGTAGTGTATAGCTACGTTTTCAGAACAACAGTGGCACATGCTGATGTCCCATGGAAACCAATTGGCCTCCCCCAATATGCAATTGAATCCTACACACGCCTATTTGAAAGCCACTCCCTCTGTGCGCAATGAGTCTTACTTTGGGTAATATCTCTTGGATTGAATCAAAATATTGGCTTCTAAGCACCTTAGAGAAGAACAAAATTATTCTGCTTCCACTTCCTCAACAACCCATAAAATACTAACTGAATTTTCAATTTGCCTATTTATCACCTACTCCAGTCTTAAGGGAATCGTTACTTTTGAAGCAAGTCCAACTGAATTTGGACCAGACTCTACACATGCAACAGTTGGCTATGGCTTCCCAGCACATGAACAAATGTCGGATCCGTTAGATAGCATTCCCTCATTTTTCTCTGACTGATAGTCTAGCTCGGTGCGGACAGCAAATCTGGAAATAACATACATGCAGAGGAGTAATAATATAACATTCATTAGCCCTGAACACCAGCAAGCATGTTCCCACTCCTCACTCTGTTCACTAGTCATGAATGGAGTAGCTATCTGCATAAGGCTACAGACAAAATAAGAGCTAGATAGATATGCACATTCAGACCATACACACACATACACATTAATCTATCTATGGAAAACAAAATTGTAAAAATCCTGCAAATACAACAAAATCAGTAACCATTTGGAGCGTAGGCGACATCTGTAATACAGACCAAGAAAGCCGATGTTTGCATATTTTCTGAAAGCTATTTCTGGTTTAAGAAATAAGGATACACTTTAACAGCTACAGCTTGGCAAGTTTCCTCCCTCAAAGCTGATGCCGAACTATGGTTAGCATGGAGAGAGATACCTGTACCATTATTTATTTAGAGAGAAATTATGCATCTGAGTTGTAAGGCAGCCTATTAAACATATGTTGCCAACCAACCACACTAACAAAATCAAGCAGCTATTATTCCTCACTAGAGGCAATGTTTGTGTAAATATTAGCACAAAAGATTGCAACTTGCTTATGAACAGAACATGTGCTGCTTAACTATGAATGAGCAAAAATGACAGGAAGGAAGCCAGTTCCAGTAAGTGCTAAAGCCAAGCATTTGCTTCCACTTGCTACCTGTCCCAGACAAGGTGATTGGCCTTACTTTGCCCAGGGCACCTGAAAGGTAGTATGAGAAAATTCTGGATTTGAGGTCCTCTACATTTCCAGATTGAAGGCAAGTGCCCTGCCTAAGGGACTCCCAGACTCCTGAAGCTAGAACTGGCTTTTCTGCTCTGTTTAGTTTTTAGAAGAAAAAGCGGAGAACCACATACCAGCTTGTGGATTCCCAGGATGCTTGTCAGGATGACACTCGAGTGCTCTCACCTTAAATTCAGAAACAATTTGTTCAACCTAGACAGAGAAACAGAGGAGGCACCCATCATTATTGACACAGATAAACTGGAGTTCGTTCGTAAGCATTCAACTTTCCTTCCTTAGGAAAACTTCTGGCCTTCAAATGCAAAGCTCACATGCAAGTTGTTACTTACAAAAGTATAGGGGAGAGTTATGCATGAGTCCATCAGCATGTGAAGCAGGAGCATCAGAGGCAAAGGAACATTCACACCTCCTTGTCTCTGCTAGGGTTGTAAGAACTGCATCAGAATGCAAAAGGGTTTGAAGCAATCCGTGGCTCCAGGTTGTGAGAAACCTGGTCTCTGTTTCTGGCCTACGACCATTTGGGGGAGTGGTTATTGCTTCTGTATTTATTGAAAACTTCAGTGCATTGGAAAGTGTTGATAAATATGTCTTTAGATTACGCATTCCTCAGTAATATAAACTGATACTGTGTCTTAATGATTGAGATTGCATATTTTGTCATTATTTTAAAATGCTATGTTAGTAAACTGAATTGATTGAGATATTATGGTAAGGCTCTATTACTATAATTGATGTGCTGATTTGCATCTTCATTGCTCTTCTTGCATTGTGAACTCCTTGCACATTTTGTGTAGAAAAGTGGCATTTGTTAAAAGTGATGATGTCTGATTGATTTACTGATTTTACAGCATATATGTGCTGGAAAGCTTTGATTGGCAACAAATTCCACTTCCCAACATGAATTCTTGCAGAAAAAGAGCTACCAGCACCATCTTCACAGTGTTTAAGGTAATTATATAGATATTCAGTAAGCCTTTCTGTGCTATGGCTTGCAGCTAGAGGGAGAGACAGCCATCAAAATAAAGACAGAAAACTGGAATCTGCACACCATTAATTCCAAAGCAGATTCATGGAAGTCAAGGTCAGACTTCATAGGAAGGTGTTTGAGACCCAAAATGGGATAATGAGCATCAGATTATTAATCACAGTAAAGGGAACGTGGATTCCAAATATTCATGTCCACAACACTCTGGGTTGAATCCAGATTGAGTTGCACCTAAAGTTGACCTTTAATACATTGGGTTTTTAATTAATTGCAACTAAATTAAATGACATGGATTTGAATTGGTCAAGTCTAAAAACAAGTCTATCAGGATTCTGCCAACTGTATTTCTTCCTATGTATCTAGATTGCTCTAAAAATTAAGTTGGTATACTGAGCATAGTATATCACACGATTCTCAGCAAGCTCATGCACAACATCTTAATGTATATCATTCTTCAACAGAGGAACAGATTTCAAAACCTGTAAAGATCTTCCGGTCAAAACAGTCTTTGAGTTGACTTCAACAATCTCAAGAAACAGCTTGGGGCCAGATTACATGAGGGGTTGTCTCCTCTCACATGTACCTGCCAAGATTGTTTGGAATGGACTGTCTACAGCCAAAGAAATGGAGCTGTGTGAGTCTTTCCCCAAGAGGTTGCCTTGGTGCCCAGGATGCACTCTTTTTAGCATCAGATGAGGCCTTATTTTCCCAGGCAGTTGAGCCTTTCAGGTTCTGCTGTGTTGAATCTATTACTGTGTTTTAAAACTTTCTACTGGTGCTAGGTCTTATTGTTATTTTACACTGTACTGTTAAACTTATATACTGGCTATTATTATGTTGCACTTCATGGTTTTTAATTGTTGTGAACCAACCAGAAAGCTCTGGCTACTGGGAAGTATAGAAATATCCCTAGTTATTGCATCTACCACAACTACATATTAATTTTTTAAAAAAATTCAGAACATATAGACTCTGGCTGCAGTCCTATGCATTCTGCCTGAGATTAAGTCCCATGGAGTGCAGTAAAATTTATTTCTGAATACATGTGCCTTAGACTGTAGCAAGAGTAGCTTTCTAACAGCAACCAAATTTACTTTCAGAGCTGCCCAATAAACAGATTTATACTGTCGAAACAAAGCTGTGCAGAAATTGTTTTCAAAAGCTTTTATTTTGGATTGGTTCAAAAAGCTGAACTGAGTGAAATAACTGACCAACCAGTAGAATCATTTCAGGAAAAAAATTGAAGAAAAAAGTACAAAGTACACAATCCAGTTGTGCACACAAACACACACACAAACCAAACTGCAAGCAGAACAATTATCTATATATCTATCAAGAACTATTCTTACTGTAGACAATTCGTCACATCCTAGTAAACTGTAGTAATCTTCCATGTCCTCTGGTCTGGAGTTCAAAATAGCATCCATTTGTTTCAATCCGGCACGCACTTTTCTGTTTTCTGAAAAACAAGATACAGGAACAATAAAGATGCTTTTTAAACAGCTACAGTGTAACTGAGGGAGTCACACAGACCAGATAGATTTAGTGATGCTGAAGGTTCTCTACAGCTGGTTTTATGTACTGAGATGTCACCCGAGACTCCGAAGTCACACCCTCCACTTAGCCTGCTTTCATTGGTGGAAGCAAACAATGAACAGCATGTACAAATGCAAAGCTCCATGGGATTTGTAGTTTCCAGAATCATTTGAAAAATAACCCATCGCTGTGATTCATGTTTCTACCTGCAAAGAACTTTCAGGATATTACAAAATAAAAAGGTCTTGGTATTAGTATTGCAAATGAACTGTTTTAACAGAAATTGTCTGATTCTACATGGATTAAGCTTCTAGATTTAAAAAGTGTATTCTTAGGCAACAACAAATCAGAAACCCTTAGAATCAGAAACAAATTATTTCTATTCTTCCCTTATCACTATTACAACAAATAAAATATCATCAGTGCACATGACAGTTTATACCTGGATGAGAAAACAGGAATCTGAAAAGACGGGGGGGGGGGGGTTGTTTTGCCTGTTAATGCTCATTTCACACATACCCTTGAAATGGAGGGGCTGCATGGCAGAGAAGGTGCTTTGCATGTGGAGGGTCCCAGGATCTCCTTATAGGAAAGAATCCTGCTGAAACCCTGGACAGCCTCTGCCAGTCAGTGTTGACAGTGCTAATTTAGATAGATGATGGTGGTGATGATGATGATGATGATGATAACATTTCTATGCCATGTGGTTCAGTATAAAGTGCCTTCTTATGTCTGTGTAGTCTAATATCATGCCCAAGAATTCAGTATCCCATTTAGGGTTGCACTGCTAAATCAGATGTGTAGAAAAGGTACCCAAACGGTGCATATCTTTCATGACAGTTGTTGCTTCGGGCTGTGGCAATGATGCTGGTCCTATTAATCCTGGGCTTTCGTTTCATATATAAGGGCAAAGTCATGGACCTGCTTCAGGGTGCCAGGCACTCAAAACACTCCATTGGGAAAGAAGCCCATAACAACAGTGGATATTTCGAAGACTGCTCTTCTTCCCTAGAACCACGGCTAGTGGCTGTAAGCTACCACATATTCATTTTCATTCTTCCAACATATACATGCTTTATACTTCATTTCACTTTTTGTTCCTAATTGCCCACACAATTTTCAGGCATTTCTCCATACACACTTCCTTCTCTGGGAATCACAACCCACACTGAATTTGTACTTATGCAACTGCACTTGTACATACACAATTTGCGGCTTGTAAAGATGGTTTAACAACTACTAGACAAATATGACTGGTGAAATTAACTGTCTAGTGACAATGGATGCAATGCTGCAAATAACATTGATCTTGAGAGAGTGAGAGGGTAGGATACTGGGCAGGAAGAGAGAACAGAGTGATACTTTCATGAAGAGTAAGGTTTGAACAGAAATATTCCAACATGAGAAAAGCAAAATTTGGAGCACTGGACAGGGCAATATGCTATCTCTGGAGCAGCCTAGTATATATCATTGTGTGATTTTGTACAGCCAACCACATGCACAAAACATCATTCTTTATGACCTGGCTTTAGTCATCAGTCAGCTTACATCTGACTGCTTACATAATATTATATAGAACACAGGTGAGCTGCAACATTTTGCCCTGTCCCAACTGCCTTTGGAGGTAAGCCTCTTGTACACACTTTTATCTGATCAGTCGGATGCCACCACGGCCCCCTTTTCCCTCTCACCTTGAGTAGGGAATTGTGAAAGCAATGAGTTACTTATCTGCCCAGGATGAGGTAATGGCCAGCTGAGTGCCCCCATCCCCTGGGGGCAGAGAAGGTGTTTCACTTCACCCATAGGTGCAGCTACATAAAGCACAGGTAGACTGAGCTGAATGTGGCATATGGGAAGAGAAGCCTCTATTGGAATTGCCAGAAATTCATTCTTCCAAACTGAAGGCTATTATTTATTAAAGAACTAATGAGACTATAAAGGAAAAGCAGACTAGGTACCGGAAAACAAAATAAAGGTTTTGCTACCCTATGCTAAACCATTGAGGTAAATGCAAATTATGCAGCAGTCACCCGGAACATGCAAGCCATTTTGGGGTAGTCAAAGGAGGGGTGGACCAGAGACTAGAGCACCCAGGTTGATGAAGTGATAGCCAGATTCCATGTTTATTAAGTTGGGGGGGGGGGGCGGGGGTTGAACACCCAAGGTTTTACCAGTCGGGAACAACACATAAGCAGGAAAAAAATCTTCCCTCATCTTCTCAATCTGGGCTATTTATTTATTACATTTATATCCCAACTTTCTCCAATTGTGGAACTCAAGGTGGCTACATGTGGTTCCCAAGGGGTCTCCCCTCCAAGCTTAGGCCATCCACAGACCTGCTTAGCTTCAACATGGTGGATGCCTTATGTGCCTGCAGACCATACTCTAGCCATCTTGACTAGGAGGTATTAATAAGGAGATGGCAAACTTGATCCCACAAAGGGCTTCCTGTTTGTGAAAGTGTATTTTTCCAAGTGAGCCATAAATGTTAACATCTCGGTTAAAGATACTTATTGCTTCAAATTAATAGATATTAATGGACATGTCTACATTGCATGGGAAACCTATGGCCCATATGTAGCTATATGTGGCCCTTGGCCGAATTTTAAAAGCCATCTGCAAAACTCTGACGAGAACGATGCTCCTCCAGCAGCTTGTGGGCAGGAGAAAGAGGGGACGGGGTACCCCTGATCCCACCAACTGCCAGAATGTGGTCACTGACATGTTATACTGTACATACAAAATGGGCTGCAACAGAGAACTAGTTCCCCATCCCTGAGTTGAATCTTAATTTTTCCAGTGACCTTAACTGAAGAATTCCACTTTGCCTTCAGATTGTAGCAGATCTATAAATAATCTTCTTGCTACCTATGAGAAAGTCAAAATAAAATACCAAGAGTTTAGTAGAGTATGCAGTAGAAATACTGTTAAAGGATATCTAACATAATATGAAAGTTTGTGTAACAAAGAACACAGAGGATGTAATGGCAATCTGTAAATGAATTCTTGCTGTTCGCTTGTCTACAAGGTTACAAAACATAGCCTACAATACTGTTTACCCAAGGTTTTTAACAGAACAGACATGACGTAGAAAATGATGAAATCTAGTATCTGCAGTTCTGACAGATGTGGACAAAATGTCCTACATTATTGTTCCCCTGCCGCTCAAAAAACCCTCCTCTGCTTAAAGCGCTTGTTTATACCATAAGAGCCATAAAAGCAGTAATAAGGAACAGACAAATATAACTTTATTAGAAATGGCAACAGGCATTAACATTTCTGAACAGTCTGGCGCGTGACTTACTGATTCGTAAATAAGTCTTTGAAGTTAGAGTTCAGTCTTGCTGAAAGTCACTGACTGCAATAAATTTCTGTCACCAAGTATAATGGGGTACTTTTGGGGTTGTTTGCACACCCAATCCAATCTCACACATGAGAATTCTCTACTTCTAACATCAGTGGCAGTTCCATATTGCTGTGGGAGATTTACATGTTTTCATTCTCCTCCCCATTTCAACTAGAAATGTCTCCTTATGAGGAGAATATTTTCTTTCCAGCATGCTTAGTTTGAATGTGCGGGGTCAGATTCCACCTGAATTACTGTATAAAGTATACAGTTCAGCAGAAAAAAATGGCAAAATTCAGGGAATCCCAAAGTGACCATCAAATCCAATACAAAAGAAGGACAAGTTCTCATTACCAGTCTTTGGACAGAATTTGGTAAAGCTTAATAGGTCATATTAGGTCCAGGGTGAAAGTCATAGCAGATTCAAGGTGGTGATAGGTTCGTTTACTCTGAACTAGCCAGGCATTTCTGGACCAATTCAGACTAGAAATACACAAGTGCATGAATAAATGATGGTGTCTTCTTTTGGATCTGAGTACAGAACATTCTGGTTCAGTCAGGTGTTGGGCCCAGCCCTGCCAAGTTGCTTTTGGCTGGAGATGCTGGAGGACTAAATCTGCGATGTTCAGTTTATGAAAGCATCTGCTGTGCAGCTGAGCTACCTGGTGCCGCAAGGTCCAGAATCAGCTTGTAACAGATAACATTACCAAGAAGTGACACCCCCAGTATAACCTATTAGAATTGTTTTCATTGGAAGGTTACAGCCTAAGCAACAGACCTATGAGAATACTCACAGTTAGATGGAAAATCACAACAGGGAAGCTAATGGAAGAACAAAAACAAAATTACTCTCTGTGTAAAGATGCACTCAATCTCCAAAAAGCAAACACGAGTTGCTTCATACTGCTTATCGGCACATATCAAAGCACCTGAGCAATCTAAGCCTCAGAAACTGTCCATTGGCATTTAGTTGTTTACACCCATGTTCAGTGTTTTTCTTTTACTAGTCAAATTTTAAAGTATTCAAAGTCAACTGAAATGAGGACTTTTATATTAAGCATCAAGGGATATAATATTTTCAAGCCAGTTAATTAATGTATGCAATTCACCACTCAATGCTATTTGTGATTTAGAAACTCATTAATATGTGTAGTAGCTAAGTGCCTGACTAGTGAAAGTCCCCAGTACTTTTCTCTGTAAAAATCTTTCTCTGTAAAAAGTCCCCAGTACTTTTCTCTGTAAAACTCTTTCTCTGTAAAAAGTCCCCAGTACTTTTCTCTGTAAAAATCTGCTCAGGTGAGCTTAGTTTTCTATTTGCCTCCATGGAAGATTTGACCAAAACACATAAAGCATTTGATAGTCATATTGGCTGGCAAATGTGGGAGTAGAAGCTGATTACAAGACCAGCAGAGGGGATAACTTTTCCCCCAGAATACCCATTCATTATATGATTTCTGCAGGAAAAGAATACCTAAGAGGTTGCCCCCATAAGAATTCAGCTTTCTCTCCCAAAGCCCCAAAACAAAGGACTTAACAAAACCCTTCTTTTAACATCCTAAATATACACAGTAGCTTTGTGGAGAAGACTTCAGTAAGAAAGCCCTTTTAATACAGCATGCCTGAATATAAAAAGGAATTTATTTATGTCTTACTCATCTATTCGCATTATCTACTTGAGGAGAGTCTAGGGCACAGGCCAAATGTAGTACAGAGAGAATGATCTAAGAGACAGCATCTGGCATCCAGTTAGATAGTACATAGAAAGCTCTAAAAAGTCTCTGCTCAGTAAAAGTCAAGCCCCCTGCAAAGACTGAGGACTGGTCTGTTCAGTGACTCAGTAGCCTCCATTTCTGAGGTCAGCAAATTACCTAGTAGACATTTAAGAATACCTTTGTAATTACAGTAAACTTTAAAAGCTCAAGGTAGTTGGAATCTGTCAGCCTATTCAAAAAGAGGGATTAAGGTTTTTATTTGGTTCCATTTTGGAGGACGGAAAAGTGAGATCAGCTGGACAATAAGTTTGCCTGGAAGGGTGACAGCTAACTAGATACTGTAGTTTGCAGTATGAATCTATCCTAGAAGAGGTTTCTCAGCATGCCACTATGTCAGATAGCTCTGGGCAGGGATGGTGTTGTGAGTCAGAACAATTGCTATCTTAACTTCTACCACAAGCTCAGGGCACATAAGAACACTTAAAAATAAAACAAAATACAATTTAAGAAAGAAAGAAAGAGACCAACCCAATTGCACCTGCTTAATCTTGACCCTTGAACAAGAATCCAAAGCAAAAGGATTTATAGCTTCTCCAGAGTTTTATAAAGGATCATGCGACCACCTTTGCAGAGGATTAGAACTATTCAGCAAGACTTTATTGGTACTATTGCTTATTGTGGGGGTGAGGGTGACGGTGTTCAAGGACAGGCTGGACATGCACATGGTAGGCATGTCATGAGTAGAGCTGGCTGGCGCTAAGGGTCAGACTAGATGGCCCGGGTGCCCCCTTCTGACTTACTCTGTGTCTATGTTTCTTTTGCCAGCCCCCTGGAAACTGTATTCAACAGACATTATTTCCTAGTTAGCTTATTTGGGACTGCAACTGTAGTCACTCAGCCACCATGCTTGCCCGTTTCATGCATAAGAAATACACTTCTGTTGGGGAAAAATGCATAAGCTGAAACAACTAGCATGCTTGTGAAAAGTAAACAAAAGAAGCCTTTATGAAAGTTGGAATGATTTTGTTCATTTGAATTCCATACTTCTAAAGCAGTTACTTAAAATTCATCCTTTGCCTGTATGCACCTCAAGAGTAACCAGGAAAAATAGCATGGGAGTGAAATGAGGCATCTAATGAGCAAATATACAAAACTGTGTGTTTAGAAGTATTTTAAATGCAGAGTATTTAAGGAAGAGCAATAAAGTAATAAGCTGCACTGCAGGACATTATGGGAAATGTAAACAAGCACAGAGAAGATAATATATTGAGGGGAAGGGTATTCATTTATTGATGGAAGTGATGTATGTGGGACAAGATATTTGATGAGATATACAAGTTATTCACATAACACATTCAGGAACTAATCATGTGAAAGCAGCTGGCATCAATATGCCATAAGGCAATTTTAGAGGATCAAATGGATTACAATTATGGATTAGTGGATCTGTGTCTTTTAGATGACATCCAGTATGTCTCCAGCTATGCTATGATCTCTACAAGACTATTTAAAAAACTGAAAAATGGATAAAGTACATCTTGAAATGCAATGCTATATCAACAGCACTACCAGTGAATATATCTTCCCCTTCACCTGAACTGACTTGTGAAGGCACGGAGCTTGTTTTTCCTTGACAGTCAGAATCAAGGGTCTTAAGAGAGTGTATGTAATCCCCATTTTGGCAACTGTTATTCTATCTCCTTTACAAGTAGATATTAATCTGAAAAGTATACTTAGGGCATGTCCTATGTAGCTTTATGCCAGCTGAGGAATGGTGGGAGGTGTGTGTCTTTTCCTGTCTAAACATACATAGTATTGCACCCATAATATAGTCCATACTGCTTAGCCTACAAAAAATTGCTTAATTTCTCCTCCAGTCCGTCTTGATATCATATGTCAACACACCTGCTATGCCAAAACAAGGACTTAAAAGGGATCTTATTCCGGAGACGAATTTGGCAAAGGGAACCCCAAACCAGTCAGCATGAAACTGGGTTTTTCCTAGCCCAGTCCTAGCTGTGTGTCCCCTCGAGTCAGTCTAAGTGATTTGGGACAGGGCTCATCCGCCCGGAGGTTTCACGCAGGCTGCGGCATTACCGCAATCATGGCGAGGTTTTGTTCCGTTCGCTGTTGCAACTTCGTATGGAATTTTAAGGCACCTGCCTACCATCTGCCAAAAAGACACTAAAAACATCTTGGACCATACATAGAGCATTTCAGCGGCGCTTATTTCCGGGCATGTTTGCAAATATTTTGCTTTATTTCCTAGGTGCACTACTTCCCCGCATCTTTTGTTCAACCAGGAATAGCTCCCGCCTTGCTCAGCACGGAGGCCTTCCCCTATTAATATTCCTTCCCTCTCGTGACCGCTCTTGGCGCGCCCCCGCAGCTCCGGCTCCTCCTCCGTCGTCGCTGCCAGGACTTGTCTTTTCCGACAGCAAGTCCTGCAGGCAGGCCCCCTTGGAAACCTTCCTCGCTGGTTCTCTTCCTAGCTGCACCTTCGGGACCCTGCTGGCTCCCTGCCCTTCGTCCCCCCCTCCCCAGTCTGTATTGTGCTACCTGGGCTGCGTTCGTGAAAAGCTCGGTTTGTTGCAGAAGAATTGGGGCCCCGCTTCTATCTGTGCTTACTCAGAAACAATCCCACTGGATTCGATGGTTAAGTGCCTATGTCAGCCTCTCTCCCCCCACCACTCTCACCCCTGGTGCCCTTCCCATGGGTTGAAACTCAAGGCATGCTGGACTACACCTGCCAGCATTCCGCAGGCAAAGACATGCTAGGAGTTGTAGTCCATCACACAAGGAGGACACCCGGTGCGTGTGCGCGCGAGTGAAGCCTGGACGGCACCCCCGTTCTTCACAATGACAGCATGAAAGTTCAAAGACTTCACTTAGCTGCTCAAAGTTCACGTGAAGCACTGCCGCACGTTGCAATTATATAACCTGCGAAACGCTGATTCTTGAGGCGGGGCCATTTAGGGAGAATAAGGTAAGGGACGTCATGTGACTGCAGCCTCTGGAGCAGCATTCTTTCCCCTCCCCCGCTGCCTCTTTATTGCACTCCCTCCCCGTCCGTCACGTGACCCGGTTTGTTGTTGTTGAGGTCCTACGCTGGGCGCCTGCCCGCGTGGGCGGTGGCGCGGTCACGTGGCGCATTTAAATCTCTCCCGGCGTGGGGGAGGGGGACTGTCTCTTCCGTCTACGGCGCCGCCGTGAGCGGCTCTTGGCTGGGCCGAGAGTGGGGAGCGGGGGAAGGAGGGAGGGAGCAGTTGCTCCTGTTCCAAGATGGCGGACGGCGAGTCGCCACTCCTCCAGTCCCGGAACGGCGGCCGCAACAGCAGCAGGAGCGACGGCGCTGTCGCGGCCACGGCTGCGGAGAGCCCCGAGCCCGCTCTCAAGCGTCAGCGCCGCGGCTCGACTGACAGCGCCGGGTCAGGCTGTGCGGCCGCGAGGGGAGACACCGGAGAGGCGGACTCGGCACCGCTCAGAAGAAGCGCCGCCGACGAGGCCCTGAGGAGGGAGAAGGAGGTCGCGGCCACCGCCACGGCCGAGCCGGGAGAGGCCGCCGCGGCGGCGGGCGGAGAAGGATGGAGCTGCGCGGAAGGCGGGTTCAGGCGGTGGGGCCTAGCCCGAGAGGAGCCGCCGCCGCCGCACCAACTGCAGCCGTCGCGGTGGCTGAGCCGAGGGGAGGGAGCGGAGGCGGCGCCCGGCGGAGGCGCAGCGGAGACGGCCATTGGCTGCGGGCCGGCGCAGTGTTCGAACGGGGCTGTGGAGGCGGCGGTGGCGCCGCAACCCGGTGAGCAGCCGCCCGGGGGGGGGCGGGGCGCCGAGCGCGGCCGCGGCGGGAGCAGCCGCGCTCGCTCGGCTCTTCGGTGACAGGCGCAGGAAATGCTTGACAGCGCCGGTGGCCCGCTCCCCTCGCTGCTAGCCTCGGAGCGGTGCGCGTGTTGGGGGCTGGGGCATGCGTGAACTGTTAATCTTCAACTCTGTGGGTTGCAGCAATTTAGCGAATTGCTGAAGCTTCCTTTGCACCACCGAGCTGCTAATATCGGGATTCCTTTCCCCCACCGAAAGCGGGAGGGAAAGGGGACCATAGAGGGAGGAAACGGGTGATGATTAATTGTGCAGCCCCATCCTGTGCAATGTGTGACACACATGCTACCTTGAAAACAAGTCTCTTCTTCATGGGCTTGTTTATCTGCAAGTAAGAATGCATAGGATTACAACCTTGATCAGCTGTCTATGGCTGAAAAGAAAAATGTTGTAGAGCTCCTTTTGGTTTATGAGGCTATAGATTTTTGCTCATTAACTAGACACACTTTTATAAAGAACTGATGCTATAAAGAACATCAATCTTTAACTAGAGTGTTGTTTTCATGACTGTTCATAGATGGTTTTCTTTCACTCTTGCCACTTCTGTAATCCATGCGTGCTTATTTGTAATAAGGCTGCACTGAATTCACTGGAACTTCGTTTTGAGTAACCATGCATAGAATTAGTCTGTAGCATTTGTGTGAAGTAGCGATTTTCTGCCACACTCACAATCTGTGAGCATGGAGCTAGATTCTAACTGGTAGATGATAGTAGTTCTAAAGGAATTCATGCAGAGTCTGAAAATTTGAGCTTGTGGAGTTAGTGTTAGTGATCTGTATTGAAGTTTGTGTATTTATTTCGTTAAGTAAGTGTATTTCCCAGAGTAACCTTCTCTCTTCATTAATTATATGGCCTAGGGTACAGTTAGACTGCAATCCTAAATCTAAATAACTGGGAAGGGGATGTAGCCCAGTAGCTGAGCATGTGCCTTGTATGTAGAAGACAACAGACTTAATCCTTAACATTTCCTGGTGGGGCTGGAAAAACTGCTGCTTGGATACCTGGACACCTGGTGCTAGTCAGTGCTGACAGTACTGGGCCAGATCGACCAGTGGAGTGGTTTATTATAAGGCAAATTCCTGTACCTGCTAACTTGGGAGTAAGGACCATTAAATTCAATTATGCTTACTTCTGGCTATATGTATGGGGCAGTACAGTTATTCTTTTAGCAGTCATATCCTACTTATTTGTACTTGGAAGGAAGTCCCACTAAGGTCAGCAAGATATCCTCTCAAGTAATAGTTTGCATTCTTATGGTATCTGTCTGTAAATATACCTGAGTTGTACATGAAATTGAAAATCACAGATCATGCTTCTGGTGGAGACAGAATGAAGTAGAGAAAAAATACCTGCACTTTACCTTCTCAGGAGTAGAAATCCCGCAAAGTTACATCTATTAAGCACATCTATTATGCTGTCACTTCAGCCTTACCATCAGCTTCAACTGTGCTTTTCTCAAAACTATAGAACTTTGGCACCAGTTGCATTCACAAGTCATGCTAAACTAACTTTCAAACAAGCTGCACAGTGTGAATTGTTTGCAATACGGCTTTTTCTCCCCCTCTTTCTCCCACAGTTCTCCAGCTAATATCCCTGTGTCCTTTGTAGCAGAACCCTTTTCGTCTTCCACCTCCGTGTACCTGATCATTTCCCCTTTTCGTGCACTGCTGTATGGTTTCTCCCCATCCACCCCGCCCCCCCAAGCCAAAGTAACTACAGCAGAAAGTGCTCTGAAAAGAAACTGCAGAATGGAGCCAAAACTTTCTGCACTAGTTACTGACTTGGAAAATTATCAAAAAGGTAAACAACACTACAAAGTGACACTAAAAAATGAAGAGCTTTACACTATGAAGTGGGAGATAATTGCCCTCCATTTTTTGGTGATTTTCTTTTCCCATCTGTCCTCCGTCTTTGGTGCTTTTTCATTTGGCAACTCTGCAGTTGTCCCCTGGCAACTTTGCCAATTAGCCTGTATGCAGGCTTGTCTTGTCAATTTTCTTATGTTATTCACTCTTCCTTGATGCTCCCTTTGACAGCTGAAGGGACTTGACCAGGCAAAGCCTTAAGAAAAGCCACTTGGGAAAGGCCAACAAAAATGTTCAAAACTTATGAACATATTTGTATCATTTTCTGCACACACACCCCATTTTTTGAGAATCAGTTACAGTTGCCTCAGAGTGTTTCTTGGGCATAGATTGTCACTGGCAGCATCAAGAGTGAGATCATAAAGAACAGGAAGGAGGTTTTGCCATACTTGAATGCTTGAAACCCATGATGAAACTGCTTTCCTGAGTTTGGACAACACAACAGTCCATCATGGATGAAACAGCCACTTGAACAAGGCTGGAACAGGGCTGGATGAACAAGTGTACCCCTGTTGATGGTAGCACATGCAGCAAGTTCTCAGGTGAAATTTATAGATTACAAGCAGGCTCATACAAGTCCAAAAGGTGGACTTTGGATGTGTAGCCTTATAAAAAGAGTGCAGTTTGGCAGATGTGCTTTTGTTTACCTATCCACTTTCTAAAGTTGCAATAGCAAAAATTCCTTCTTGCAGCTCTAAAGATTAAAAGGTTCCAAATTTACAGTAAATTGACACAAGGAATTTTATCTCTTCTGTCATTAACATTTACATGATGTCAATAATGTAGAACATGGTAAAAGCCAGTTAAGAAGAATTTTCTAGTGTTCCTTATAGGTGGACAGTGAAATTTGTTGTAAATGTGATGGAGCTGCTGGTAACTGTTTCTCTTTGTTTAATGTTGTCTTACAGATAATATATTTTTTAATGATGAGATCATTGCAAATGGTTTCCATTCCTGTGAGAGTGATGAAGATGATAGAGCCTCCCATGCAAGCTCCAGTGACTGGACTCCAAGGCCACGTATAGGTAAACATTTAGATGTCCATCTATGGATTGTATTTATCTCTTAAGATCGCCCTCACCTCAGATCTCTTTCCTTTTTCTTTTCTCAACAGATAATTTCTAGGCATCTGTGGCATTATCTTTCCTTTAAAAAAAAAAGATCTGGTATTGTGACAGTATGTTATTTTGTTGAAAACATTTCTGCCAAGGCAGTTTACAGTTTTTAAGGAATGAAAATATGTTGTATTTAATACATTTCTGTATAGGGATTTTGTAGTAAGGGAGATTAAATTTTAAATAAATGTACCAAGCCCCCAGATTAAAAGCCCAAACACCAGACTACAGTTTTCTTGGGCCAGTTCAGGAGTTAATGGCAAAGTTCCCCAGCCTGGGCTTCTCTTCTGACTTCCATTAGGATGCACATGTCTTGTAGCCCTAGTGAAGGTCAGGGAGGGCTGCCCCATAAGGCCTCTCAAGCTGATGACAGACTCCCTAGCTGGAAAGCTACTTCTCATGAAGCAGCAGTAGTTCACCACAGCTTACCTCAGGTAAGAAACAGAATAGCCACCTGCCCCTATACTTTCCTTTTTGCGTGACCACTTATGTACTGGCACAGAACTGTGGAGTACTCTGATGCCAGTTTTTTTGAGGAGCAACACATGAGGGAAGAACTAAGTCTTGCATATAATTCTATGATTCTATAATTTTGACAGGCTTTTTTGTTCTATAAAATGCAGCAGCTGAGGTTGTATTTTGAAGCAGAGCAGTATGAGGCAAGAGAGATGACTTCACTCTTTTCCTTTAGCTGTTTTCCTACTGAACATCATACACATGCGCACACTGCTTTTACCCCCACAAGGGTGAAGATATATGGGAAACAAAGGTCCCTCCCCCCCGCATTTACTTTCAGATGACAGCAAGATGCAATCTAAGAGAAGCTGTTGGATAAAAAAAGACATTCTTTGTTTCATGAAATATTGACATAGAATCATAGTCAAATAATTAGGCAGTAAATTGCCTAATCAGCTGATATTCTAACTCTGCTTCATAATGTAGGTTGATACTAAGAACTGTTAAACAAATAAGTTCATTGAATGGGACGTTCTCTTGGAGCATCATAAAAACTTTACATTGAATGATTGTTATATGAGCATGCATGGATCAGTGCTACGAGACTGGTCACCTTCAGTCCCACTATGATAAAATAATCTATTGTGTAAAACTGTTGTTGTTTCATCACAAAGTCATGCCCGACCCATCATGTCCCCATGGACAACATTCCTCTAGGCATTCCTATCCACCATCCCTCGGAGTCCACCCAAACCCACACCCACTGCCCCAGTGACTCCATCTAGCCACCTCATCCTCTGCCGTCCCCCTCTCCTTTTGCCATCAATCGTTCCCAGCATCAGGGTCTTCCCCAGTGAGTTGTTCCTTCTTATTAGGTGGCCAAAGCATTTGAGTTTCATCCTCAGTATCTGGCCTTCTAAAGAGCAGTGAGGGTTGATTTCCCTTAAAATTTACTGGTTTGATCTCTTTGCAGTCCAAGGGACTCACAGGAGTCTTCCCCAGCACCACAATTCAAAGGTCTCAATCCTTTGGCACTCAGCCTTCCTTATGGTCCAGCTTTCACAGCCATACATTGCAACTGGGAAAACCATAGCTTTGACTATACGAACTTTTGTTAGCAGGGTGATGTCTCTGCTTTTTAGTATGCTGTCTAGATTTGCCATAGCTTTCCTCCCAAGGAGCAAGCATCTTTTAATTTCTTGGCTGCAGTCCCCGTCTGCGGTGATCTTGGAGCCCAGGAAAATAAAATCTGTCACTACCTCCATTTCTTCCCGTTCTGTTTGCCAGGAAGTGATAGGACCAGATGCCATGATCTTAGTTTTCTTAATGTTGAGTTTCAAGCTAACTTTTGTGCTCTTCTCTTTCACCCACATCAAGAGGCTCTTTAGTTTCTCATTACTTTCTGCCATTAGAGTGGTATCATCTGCAAGTCTGAGGTTGTTGATATTTCTCCCTGCAATCTTAATTCCAACTGATTCATCTAGCCCTTACTTGTGATTCATCTAACCCCGTACTCCTTTCCCAATTTTGAACCAATCAGTAGTTCCATGTCCTATTCTCACTATTGCTTCTTGACCCCCCTCTTGAGGTTTCTCAGGAGACAAATAAGATGGTCTGGTACTGCTATCTCTTTAAGAACCTGCCACAATTTGTTGTGATCCACACAAGCAAAGGCTTTAGCATAGTCAATGAAGCAGAAGTAGATGTTTTTCTGAAACTCCCTAGCTTTCTCCATGATCCAGCGTATGTTGACAATTTGATCTCTAGTTCCTCTCCCTCTTCGAAATCCTGCCTGTACTTCTGGTAGCTCTTGGTCCACATACTGCTGGAGCCTAGCTTGTAGGGTTTTGAGCATAACTTTGCTAGCATGTGAAATGAGTGCAATGGTGCGGTAGTTTGAACATTCTTTGGCATTGCCCTTCTTTGGGATCGGAATGTAAACTGACCTTTTCCAATCTTGTGGCCACTGTTGAGCTTTCCAAATTTGCTGGCACATTGAGTGTAGCACTTTAACTGAATCATTATTTAGGATTTTGAATAGATCAACTGGAATACCATCTCCTCCACTACTTGCTAAGACTTCTTAAGGCCCATTTGACTTCACATTCCAGGATGTCTGGCTCGAGGTCAGTGACCGGCTATCAGGGACATTAAGATCTTTCTTGTGTAGTTCTTCTGTATAATCTTGCCACCTCTTCTTAATCTCTTCTGCCTCTGTTAGGTCCCTGCCATTTTGGTCCTTTATCATGCCCATCTTTGCATGAAACGTTCCCTTCATATCTCCAGTTTTTTTGAAGAGATCTCTAGTCTTTCCTATTCTGTTTTCCTCTGTTTCTTTGCCCTGTTCATTTAAGAAGGCCTTCTTATCTCTTCTAGTGATACTGTGGAATTCTGCATTCAACTGGGTGTATCTTTCTCTTTCTCCCTTGCCTTTGCTCCCTTTCTTTCCTCAGCTATGTGTAAAGCTTCCTCAGACAGCCATTTTCCTTTTTTGCATTTCTTTTTCTTTGGGATGGTTTTAGTTGCTACTTGCTGTACAGTGTTGTGAACCTCTGTTCATAGTTCTTCAGGCACTCTGTCTATCAGATCTAATTACTTAAATCTATCTTTTACCTCTACTTTATATTCATAAGGAATATGATTTAGGTCATACCTGAGTGGCCTAGTGCTTTTCCTTACTTTCTTCAATTTAAGCCTGAATTTTGCAACACAAAAATCATGATCTGAGCCACAGTCAGCTCCTGGTCTAGTTTTTACTGACTGTATAGAGCTTCTCCATCTTTGGCTGCAGAGCACATAGTCAGTCTGATTTCTGTGTTGACCATCTGGTGATGTCCATGTGTACAGTCATCTCTTGTGTTCTTGGAAAGGAGTCTTTGCTATGACCAGCATTTTCTCTTGACAAAATTCTGCCAACCTTTGCCCTGCTTCATTTTGTACTCCAAGGCCAAACTTGCCTGTTATTCCAGTTATCTTTTGACTTCCTACTTTAGCATTCCAATCCCCCATGATAAGGAGATCATTTTTGGTGTTATTTCTAGAAGGTGTTGTAGGTCTTCATAGGACAACTTAAAATAGTCCCATGTTAATGAAATTCAAGAAAAAAACATTATTGCCAAATATTAGAAATCTCTACAATTCAGTGGTCCCTGGAAAGCCTTCTCAGGTATAAAGGGAAAGGTCAGGCCTCAGAAAGGGAAATCCAACCTCTTCTAGGCCTGCAGAAATCTCTGAGGTCCTTTCTGCAACAGTGGTAGAAACAAAAAGGGGAGGAGGGTGCCATAGAAAGATCAGGGTTCATCCTGGAACCAATATACAGTATATCACCGAAGTGAGTACACCCCTCACATTTTGTAAATATTTCATTTTATCTTTTCATGTGACAATCCTGAAGAAATGACACTTTGCTACAATGTAAAATAGTGAGTATACAGCTTGTGTATAACAGTGTAAATTTGCTGTCCCCTCAAAATAACTCAACACACAGCCATTAATGTCTAAACTGCTGGCAACAAAAGTGAGTACACCCCTAAGTGAAACTGTCCAAATGGGGCATTATTAGCCATTTTCCCTCCCCAGTGTCATGTGACTCAGTGTTACAAGGTCTCAGGTGAGAATGGGGAGCAGGTGTGTTAAATTTGGTGTTAACACTCTCACTCTCTCGTACTGGTTACTGGAAGTTCAACATGGCACCTCATGGCAAAGAACTCTCTGAGGATCTGAAAAAAAGAATTGTTGCTCTACATAAAGATGGCTTAGGCTAGAAGATTGCCAAGACCCTGAAACTGAGCTGCAGCACGGTGGCCAAGACCATACAGCGGTTTAACAGGACAGGTTCCACTCAGAACAGGCCTCGCCATGGTCGACCAAAGAAGTTGGGTGCACATGCTCAGCGTCATATCCAGAGGTTGGCTTTGGGAAATAGACGTATGAGTGCTGCCAGCATTGCTGCAGAGGTTGAAGGGGCGGTGGGTCAGCCTGTCAGTGCTCAGCCCATACGCTGCACACTGCATCAAATTGGTCTGCAGGGCTGTCATCCCAGAAGGAAGCCTCTTCTAAAGATGATGCACAAGAAAGCCCGCAAACAGTTTGCTGAAGACAAGCAGACTAAGGACATGGATTAGTGGAACCATGTCCTGTGGTCTGATGAGACCAAGATGAACTTATTTGGTTCAGATGGTGTCAAGCGTGTGGCGACAACCAGGTGAGGAGTACAAAGACAAGTGTGTCTTGCCTACAGTCAAGCGTGGTGGGAGTGTCATGGTCTGGGGCTGCATGAGAGCTGCCGGCACTGGGGAGCTACAGTTCATTGAGGAAACCATGAATGCCAACATGTACTGTGAAATACTGAAGCAGAGCATGATCGCCTCCCTTCGGAGACTGGGCTGCAGGGCAGTATTCCAACATGATAACAACCCGAAACACACCTCCAAGACGACCACTGCCTTGCAAAAGAAGCTGAGGGTAAAGGTGATGGACTGGCCAAGCATGTCTCCAGACCTAAACCCTATCAAGCATCTGTGGGGCATCCTGAAACGGAAGGTGGAGGAGCGCAAGGTCTCTGACATCCACCAGCTCCGTGATGTCGTCATGGAGGAGTGGAAGAGGATGCCAGTGGCAGCCTGTGAAGCTCTGGTGAACTCCATGCCCAAGAGGGTTAAGGCAGTGCTGGAAAATAATGGTGGCCACACAAAATATTGACACTCTGGGCCCAATTTGGACAGTTTCACTTAGGGGTGTACTCACTTTTGTTGCCAGCGGTTTAGACATTAATGGCTGTGTGTTATTTTGAGGGGACAGCAAATTTACACTGTTATAAAAGCTGTATACTCACTACTTTACATTGTAGCAAAGTGTCATTTCTTCAGGGTTGTCACATGAAAAGATATAATAAAATATTTACAAAATGTGAGGGGTGTACTCACTTCTGTGATATACTGTACATATTTTCCCTCGCATTGATAAAATGTTATAAAAATGAGGTAAAATGTGATATGTCATAAAAAACATACTGCTTTTTCCTCCTTGTTGTGACTTCAAATAAGGCAGTCCTCCATCTTTGAATCTTCTTCCCACTTTTTGTGTCTGAATCAACAAGGGACTGTTAATTGAGGGTAACTCATATAGGAAAACTGACTGCTTTGCTTCATCTTTGAGATGAGAAGATTAATGAATAGGTTTCTGTTGGGTACCAGAATGTTTATTCTTTTGTAGAAAAAATACTAATTCCTAGTGGTAATTGAGACTTTGGTCTACATAGGTGAGTTTTCTGTACATAGAATAAACTATTATAATGCAGTATAATGTATAATAAACATGCCACATTTGTTGCATACAAGGTGCCTTTCTCATAATGTAAATGCATTACTTTCTGCATGCAGTGCACTTGAGTGTTTTTCAGATAGGTATGCAGCTTGCTCTGCTGAAAATGCAACTAAGGATACAGATCTGATAGTTATTACTGCAAAATTTTGTTATTCAGGTTGAGCATAGTATGTCAGCCAGCTTACAGTTATTTTCTTTTTTATAACAGGTCCTTATACTTTTGTTCAACAACACCTCATGATAGGCACAGATCCACGTGCAATTCTGAAAGACTTGTTGCCAGAAACAATTCCTCCTCCTGAATTGGATGATATGACATTATGGCAAATTGTTATTAATATCCTATCGGAACCACCTAAAAGAAAAAAGAGAAAAGACATTAATAGTATGGAGGATGCTGTGAAACTTCTACAAGAGTGCAAAAAAATAATTGTCTTGACTGGAGCTGGGGTAAGTATTCACTTTTGAATAGGATATAGTCACCAAGATTTGAGTGTTCAGTGATTATGATGCAAGTGTGTACATCATGTGGATGGACTGCTGTGTGTTGTGCTAATGTTAATCTTTCTTCTGGGTACTTCATTTGCTATAACCTACAGGACAAGGCCTTGAGAATATTTGTTTGTGCGACAAGTTCACAAGTAGTGATATCGCTATATCCGTTTCCCACAGTTAGGGAAAGTCTAGTAGACAAAACTCTTCATCCTGTAACAAGACACATTAATGTTGAAGTTCATGCATCTTTTCACCCTGTACATAAAGCTCCAATTTTAATGTCCTTCTAGCAGCAGCAATAGTTTTGTGCATCAAGCCCCCATCTCCAGCACAAAGGGGCACTTAATTCCCTTGCTCAACTGTAATCCCTGCAGTTTTTGAGGTAGCAGCAGCTATTATTGGTGCAGGTACTGTGCAAATGACTGAGGTCAGTAAGAATTAAAGAAGGCAGCATATTTGTAGCCCCATTTCCCTATTATTGTTCCCAAAGTACAAGAGAAGCATTTGATAGGGATTTAGGAAACAAGTGGACAGAACATGGCAAAAATACCCATTTGCCTTATTGATTGGATTTGTACCCTGCATCTCTATCAAAAAATGATACCGAGAGTCAAGGCACAAAATTTGATAAAAACAAAGTAATAACTTAAAATACAATAAACAATTACAGATGGGTGGGAACAGCACCTTTCAGGCTCAGAGCTCTGTTCAGGAGTATACTCAGACTGTTAGCCTGTATCTTCTGAGAAAACGTGACCCAATCCAGCACAGGTTGAACCTCTGCTTTTCAACTGAATGAAAGCCCCTTTGTCTTGTCTGGAGTGAGCTTCAATTTGTTTGCCCTTCTCCAGTCTATTTTAGACATCAGATACCAATTTAAGACCAGGACATCTTCCTTGGATTTAGATGGGAATGTTGAGGTGGGGGAGAGTTGGGTGTCACCAGTTACTGATGGTATCAACTCCAGACAACCTCTTCCAGCATTTTCATGTATATTATTATTAGTATGCAGGCTAAGAAGGAAACCTGAGGTATACCACTGACCAACAGTCATGGCATCATGAAGGAATTCCCCAGTACCACCTTTGGCGATCAATTCTCCAAGAAGGACTGGAGACATCATGTAGGATGTTGCTTGAGCTAGAGTACAGGCAGAAGCTTGTGCTCCAGAAACTACTATCCTTAATAGAATCGAGCTGCCCATTTTCATTCCTTTCTGGAAAGGATGTGGTGCCTATTAACTCAGTATAGCAAAGAATTACTTGTTTTGAAAGGCTGAATTGAAAGTTTTTTCCTCTGCAACTTTTGAGCCTGCCTTGTGAATTCTCATAAGTGATCTGGTTACAGTTGCAAACTTATGTAGCTTTCTTATTATGGAATAACATATACTTATGAAGACATTTCTTTTATTGGAAGAAAGCAAGAAGCACAATTGAGGTGTGTAAAATCATACATTGTTTTGATGTCCAAATATTTAATAGCAGCAAGTAACATAATATTAGAACACGTGGTTGATATTTATGGTTGCATGTAATCCATTTCAGGTGTCTGTTTCTTGTGGAATCCCTGACTTCCGCTCAAGAGATGGTATCTACGCACGCCTTGCAGTCGATTTTCCAGATCTTCCTGATCCTCAAGCAATGTTTGACATTGAATACTTCAGAAAAGATCCAAGGCCATTTTTTAAATTTGCAAAGGTGCCGTTTCTCTCTTGCTTCTAGTCCGGGAAAGAAACATGAGTAAACTACCTACATACTTGCTGTATCTAAAGCAAACATCATTCTTCCCATATCTGTTATACCTTGATAATGAGCCAGCACACTTTGACTAATGCACTACAGTAATATTACAAATAATAATGTGATGTTTGCTCTCTAGACAAGTGTGGCAGAGAAATGATCACACAAGTATTTTTTTACGGCTGTCAGGTTTTTTAATTAGTATGTAAATAAATTTTGATAGGGAATCAAGTATATAGACTATCAATATTTACTAGATGTAACTTTTTAGTTAAATATTGATACAATGACATCACACTTGTATATGTACTATTACATAGACCTCTAATTCAATATCATATATTTCTATACTAAGCCCTTAATTGACCGATGATTTAATTTTGTGGATGATGTATTTACTTGTCAATGAGTAGTTCAAATATTCCTAGTTTAGTATTAAAGCATCTTCCACGTAGTACCAACTATATGGGGTTGAACATTTTTCACTTTTTAGAAATGCATTATTTCATTAAAATTAAGTAGAATCTGGATTAATGTTTCTTCTCCCTCAGCTTTGTATCTCTAAGATGGATATATAGTTAAATATACAACAGTTCAGCCATGTAAAATTAGTTTGTCAACAGTTTTAAGGCTGCAATCCTATACACACTTATGAATCTCTTTGAACTTTATGGAGCTTATTTATGAGTAGATGTCCTTAGGATTGCTCTGTTTGTGTCTTTATGTAGTCTTGAAGGAAAAAACATGAGGGAAGTGGATGCTATTGAGGTGTCAATAAAAATGATCTTCTAGTAAATCTTTTGTTCGGCTATAACATTTAAATCTAAAGCTGCTAGTTGATCTACATAAATTTGTTTAATGTTGTAGGAAATCTATCCTGGACAGTTTCAGCCATCTCTCTGTCATAAGTTTATAGCTTTGATGGATAAAGAAAGAAAACTTCTACGCAATTATACTCAGAATATAGATACACTGGAACAAGTTGCAGGAATTCAAAGGATAATCCAATGTCATGGTCAGTCAAATGTAAATTCACTTCTACTGTGTCTCTAAGGGTTATACTGATGTGCATAATTCTGGGCATGCTGTATCTTGGAGGAATTTTGCAATGGCCATATTGCACTTAACATCTTAAAAATATAAGGTTCATTTAATGTATTGATCTTTCAGTGCATGAACAGATATGGAAAGGATTGTGCCTTCTACAAATTGATGGTGAATTCCGTTGCAGAATTCTCAGATTTTGTTTAATCAAGAGCTTAAGTATTTTAAGCTCTTGATTTAACAGTAGGGCAGTGAAAGATGGTCACCCACAAGTAAGGTAGAGGGTTGTAATACTTAGGACAATTCTCCTCATATGCACAAAAAGAACAGTTATCAAAAGTGTCATTACAGACCACCTCTACCCCAACATCAGTTGAGGAGAGGGGAGGGTGCTGACTGGTCTGCTTCAACCTTTAAGAGCTTATATTATCTTGAATGACAGAAGAGGAGGATGGTGGAGCAAAGAAAATGAAAGGAGAAATGTGCTGAAAAAATTCATGTGCGAACATCTTGGAAAGGCATCTGTAGTCTTGCATGTTCACATTCTCTGTCCAAAATAAATATTAATATAGTTAATATTTTAATTCAGATGACTGAATTATGTTCTGACTATATAACTGTATTTGTATTTTTTTTAATTTGCTTGTGTATGTTTCAGGTTCCTTTGCAACAGCTTCTTGCCTCATTTGTAAATACAAAGTTGATTGTGAAGTTGTTCGAGGAGATATTTTTAATCAGGTAAGAACATTTTTAGGATACACTGGGGGGAACCAAACTCTGCTTAACAAATATTGTCAAGTATGTTTAGTCTGCAATCAAAAGTACATTTACCTAGGAAATTTATTTATTTTATTTATTTATTAAAACATTTTTATGCCGCCCCATTCGCCGAAGCCTCGGGGCGGCTTACAACAACATTTTAACTTCACTGTTCAAATACCTAGAAATGTAGTGATCTCCAGACTTTGATGTGATGTGAATTGCAGCTGTTGAGGGATGTATAACATAACTTCCATTCATAACAAAACAGTTGTGGGTCCCAAAATAAGTATAGTTACTTGCTTATTAAACTCATGTCTCACCATTCTTCCAATAAGGCTTAAGATAAGTACTGATCAACAGTCATTTGTTTAACTGTAGTACTCTGTAGTACTTCATAAAGCAGCTCTGGGTACCACACTTTTTGAAGAATTGTTGACAAGGGTAGGACCCAGTGGCCCTCTAGATATTGTATTCCAACTTCCATCTTGCCTGAGCATTGGACAGTTCAATGTATAGAGGGTCACAAGTTTTGTTTGGTGTGAAGCAGACACATTGAAATTGGTTCAGAAGAGGTAGTCAGAGGCAAAGGAAACAAATCCTTGAAGAATGGTTAAATTAAGTGGTTATACTTAGCCTGGAGAAGACAATTTTAGTGAGACACTATGGCATTCTTCAAATCTCAGATGCTGAGAAATAATCTAAAGAAAAGATGTGGTCTCTGCTGTTCCATAGGGCAATAGTAGATCTAATTGGTTTAACTTAAAGGAGTAGTAACTTCATTTGAACATTAAGATTTTTTTTTAACAGTAAGAGCAGTTCAGCAATGGAATCAATTTTCTAGGAGCAGGGGCGAAATCAGCCTTGCTAAGGACTATCAGGCAGAAATCAAACAACCATCTGATAGGGGTGCTAAAGATTTCCTGTGTGAATCAGGAAGTTGGACTAGATGACCTACGAAGTCCCTCTAACTCTATAATTCATTGGTTCCTTTTTACAGAATCAGATGCGTTTCCAGTGCTGGAGTCTTTGGAATTTATTCACTATGCTAGAACCCTAACCATTGACAAACATTGCAACTGCATCAGGAGAATATTCGTAGTCTACCTTTTGTGTAGGAAGGGAAAGTTTTCAGGTTGGCTGTGATAAAGTCACAAGTTCTAGAAACAGCTTTGTGAGGATAGGCTGTTGACTCGGTCAAGGTTCCAGAACATAGGAAATCTAAGGACAGGGAAATGGGGGGCGGAGGAGTGGCTAGTAGGCAGACAACTGACAACGGAAAAGAAATAGTAGTAATACAAAAGGGGATAGGCAACATGTAGGCCTAATATGGTCCCCACTAGACCCTTTCCCACATTGCAAAACTGGGGAGGAAGGAAATGGCATTCATGGTGAATACATGAAGCACAAAGAATGTTAAAATTAGCTGGTTTTCAAGCTGTATTTGACTCTGTTGATACTTGGTAGGTGCTATGTTGAGATTTTCAGTCTTTTAGAAAAGATTGTGCACCCAAGGTGGGATGGGATCAATGAGCAAAAATGGCCTCCAGATCCCTAGCAACTACCCACCCTGTAGCAGGAGGACAGAAGGAAAGGAAGAGCCATTCGGGAGCCATTTATAAGACCTCAAAAGTCACTAGCCTGCTTTAAAAAACGAACTTGCTACAGCCTGCACTTCTATGTGGGCTACAGAGGAAATGATGTCATCTACTTTTTGGCCAGCATGGAAACAGTGGCTACTAGCCTCTTAGAAAGCAGGTTTTAAAAAATAACTTTCTACCAAGTGGTCTTTTGGAGGATGGATAAAGTAATCCATCTCACATTTGTCAAGCTGCTCCAGTTCCATGCTGGTTATAGAGGAAAATACTTAATTGTTCCAAAACTAACATGGAAACCAAGTGGACAGGCGGAGAGAGTGGGGGAGCAGTCATTCCCTCATCATCATCATCTTCATTATTACATTTATTTATATCCCACCTATTTCCAGTGAATGGGATGCAAAGCAGCTCATAATATTAAAAACTTATGCAATCAAAACATTCATAGAAATATACAAAAGTTAATAAAATGAGTTAAATATTAAGTTATGCAAAATATTCATATATATTAAAAATGTTGTGGAAAAATAGAACTAACCCAGCGCAAACTCACAAGCCCAGATCATTCCCAAATGCCTGTCAGAACAAGAAGGGCTTTGCCTGCATTTGGGAGCCTAACAGGGAGGGCATCGACCCAGCCACTCTATGCTGACAATGCTAGAGCCTGGAGGCCAGTCACTGAGGCTCTCCCACGCTCCCGCCACGTGTGCCTGAGAGGGTAGTGGCATCATGAGAAGGGCCTCGCCAGACGCTCTTGGAGCACAGGCTGGCTCATAAGGGAGACTGTGGACTTTCAGATAGACGGAACCTGAGCTTTATAGGTCATAACCAGCACTTTGATTTGTGTCAGACTGAAAACACTGGGAGCCGGTGAAGCTGTTTCAACAAGGCAGTTATGCGCTTCCTGTAGCCTGCCCCAGTCAGCAGTCTGGCAGCTGTTCTCTGAACCAACTGAAATTGCCAGACACTCTTCAGCAGCAGCCCCATGCACAGTGCATTAACAATAATCCACACAGGCTGTAACTAAGACATTTGTCACTGAAGCCAAATCAGATAGCTCCAGGAATGAGTGCAGCTGGAACACTAGTTTGAACTGTGCAAATGCATTTCTGACCACCACCACGACTTGGGCATCCAGACTCCAGGGTGAATCCAGAAGTACACCCAAGCTGCAATTCTGTGTCTCCAGTGGGAGTGTAACACATACCTGCATAGGCTAAATCCCTTTTCCTTGATCTGCTTTCCAACTGACCAAACCATGAGCACTTCTGTCTTATCTAGATTCAGCTTCAATTTGTGTCCCCTCATCGCATCCATTACTGCTAACAGACATTTATTTAGGAAAGGAATGAAATAGATTCAAGAACTTCTAAAGGATTCAGGGCTGTAAGGTTACTAGGTTTCTTGTAACTTGATAAGGTGTTGTTCCATAAAGGAGAATTCTATCAGTTGTGTGGGTTCTTCTAGACCTTTAGATCCTAAGAACCATAAAGGAGCAATTAAGGCCAAGAAGCAGCGGAAGATGAGGCTGCATTTCACATGTTGAAACTAATTGGTCTATGCCTTGGCTATATACATAGAATTCTTTCTACCTTTAAAATGTGTATTCATATTGTCATCATAAAAACTAAAATTCAGCTTTCAGTGCACCAGAGGTAAAACATAATTGATCCTTTTTACTTGGTGCATCATCTGTTTCTATATGCTAGAAACATAATAAGCTCATAAAGCAAGTCTCTACAAAAATGAATGTTATTACTAGACACTGACTGGGATTTCTGCTCAAATACGTATGTTAGTGTGGTGTATAGACATACAGAGTAGTTATATGCTCTACATTTTTCTAGCTTTAAATATTGTTTAGGTAGTTCAAGAAAACTTAGTGTTCTTTATGGAATATAATCCATCGTTGAATGTCATAATTAGTGTACACATAAGAAAGTGTAAGTGCCTTGTCACAGTGTGCGTCAGTTGTAGAAATCTGACCTTCATAATTAATCTGTTAGGACTACCTTGTTGACAAAATGACTGATGTATCTGTCTTAGATTTTTATTCTGTCTAAGTAAAACTTAATGCAACCGTCTGTATGTAGGTTGTTCCTAGATGCCCTAGATGCCCACCAGATGAACTACTTGCCATCATGAAACCAGAAATAGTGTTCTTTGGTGAAAATCTACCTGAGCAGTTTCATAGAGCCATGAAATACGATAAAGATGAGGTTGATCTTCTTATTGTTATTGGCTCTTCACTTAAAGTAAGACCAGTAGCATTGATTCCAAGTAAGTATTGATTGCTCATGTATTGGGAAGAAGGGGTACTACTTGTTTCAGATTAAAAACCACAGATCAGGGGAAAGCAACTTCTACCCCCTTTGTGGCCCAATCCAGCCCATGTAGGATTGACATCTTCTATGGGTGCTGCTTTCCCTTCCCACAAACTATACCTTCCTCAAGCCCACTCCCTAATGAATTGCAATACAAATGAATATCCCTTTATATTCTCTGGAGTGATCAGAGATAAGCTGGAAAGTACTACAGACGCAAGGAAGAAATGCATGTATCCAGCATGCTGTGAGTAGAAAGTAATACTCCAGAAATCAGAATTCAAAGCCAGTTTACATAGTAATAAATAATTTAATTAATTATAGTTTGTTATCAACTTTATTAATAGCAGTTGACATTCATTTCATGATAACATCTGTTTGAATATATTTTTTTCTCAAATACATAGGTTCCATCCCACATGAAGTGCCTCAGATTTTAATTAACAGGGAACCATTGCCTCATCTACACTTCGATGTGGAGCTTCTTGGTGACTGTGATGTTATTATCAATGAATTATGTCATAGATTAGGTGGTGAATATACAAAACTTTGTAACAGTTCAGTCAAACTTTCAGAAATAACAGAGAAACCTCCACGACCACACAAAGAATTTGAAATACATTCAGCTGAGTTACCACCTACTCCTCTAAACATTTCTGAATATTCTAGTTCACCTGACAGAATTACACCACAGGATTCTTGGGTGGTACGTTCAGAGCATTCTTCTGAATATAAAGCAAGAAATTCTGATGCCTTTGAGTCAAAAGAGAACTGTGTCGAGGAGAAATCTCAAGAAGTACAAAACTCTTTAGAAAATATTGAAAGTCTTCCTGGCCAGTTAGAAAATCCAGAACATGTGAAGGAACATGGATCTAATGAAGGGGAAAACAAAGAGAGAAGTGAAAAACCTGTTGAAACGCTGAGAAAGTTTTGGGTTAATAAATGTGCAAAAGAACAGATTAGCAAGCGGCTTGATGGTAAGTTCTAGCTAATTTGTAAATGCCATATTCTTTTTCAAACAAGGACCAATTCTTTAATGTAATTTTGAACTATTAAAATGTGTCTTGAAGTTTTCATTCAGTAGTGAGCACCATTTTGTTAAAATGTCATGATTTTTAGTTTGGAGGCATTGGGAAATATATCTCTCCTGTTCAGTATCATAGGATATGAAATCTTTTCAAAAGAAACAAAAGAATTCTCCTGATTGAGCCTGCTAATCACTTTAAACCAGGAATTGGTATCCCTATGTTTTGGATTATAACTCAACCCCTGGCTAGTATGACTGATAGTGATGGATTAGGGAGCTGTAGTCCAAACCAACTGAAAACCACCAGGTTGCCTGCCTACCCTTGGTTTAAACATTTGCAAGATTTTAAATGATACAGGCAATATAACTGAATTATTTATCAGGCTTTCCAAACCTTCTACTTTCCTAATATTTGTTCCTATTCTAACATATATCTCTTATTTTCACAAAGCTATTGTGAGACCCCACTAAAATGAGATGAACTTCTTTGTAATTATATACTTATTTGCTGGTGTGCCTCAAAATATTTAAATATACGATTCTGACCATTTTATCTGACCACCAGACAAAGCCCCAATTGAGCTATTTGTAATAAACACTGCTTTGGCTTGCATGTATTGCTGAAACATGTGGTTTATACGGATGAGCATATCATCCACACCACTGGGCTCCTGCACTTCAATCTCTCCTCCTGCATGGCTGGAAGGAGAACTTTGGAAGCTTAATTTCCATTTAAAAGAATCCCAGTTGAGTAATACATTTGAACTAGTGATTCTGGTTTAAAACTAATTTTTGTTACTTTTAACTAGTCACTTCATAACAACCCATGGTTTGAAGTTAGCTTGTTTAGAACCCTATCAGAGTTTGTTCTAAATCAGGAGTCTTGATTTAAGTATAACACACACTAGGCTGGGGTTCTTTAAAAGTGAAAGGAAACATCACCATAGCTAGACACAAAAAATGTAGCTTGGGAGCTAGGGGTGCTGTATCTTAAAATTAAGAATGTTACTTTTGAACACACGCTCAGCTCAAACATTTATTTTTGGTACTGGAATTTTATCACACATCCTGTTGTTTTCTCATTCCCCCGAAGAACTTCATTTCATTTCTGCAGCCTAATCTAAAAGGGGTGACAGAGAAAAGATTTTGTGTTGCTGCTGTTAAACATTTGGGAGTCAATGTGTGTAAATCACATTCTGCTTCTGTAGGGAATCCTTAATGCAGTGCCCACCCTGCCTGCACTCTGATGTACAGGATTGCACTGTGAAGCAGGTTGTGGGCCTATCTGAATATTCTGAACAGTAGCAATGCCTCTACTTTGTACAAGCCCCAGGAGAGAACAGGCTGGTTTCGTTATCATTTAAAGTTTTGCAACCCTGTTGTATAGCTGAAAAGACCCCTAGAGCAGCTTGTATATAATTAGGGGGGGAAATAATCTGAACCTGCAGACTTAGAGTCTAAAAAAATTGAAATGAAGAGGGAAGGAAGAGGGAAAAACAAATTCTTACAAGTGAAATAGCATTTTATAATGACAAACTGGAATAGAAACAATTCAGGATGTTGAGAAGGCTTGAATAGAACCTAGTGCTTCAGCAGACCTGATAGAGTGGCCTTGCTTCCTATTATTCTCTGCTGCAGCTATATAGAATGGAGCGCTGGAAATGAGCCATAGTATGTTTGATTCAGTTAACACAACAAACTACATTTTACTGATAACTACATTTAAAATAAAGTATAATTTTACTTGAAACTACAGCAAGGGAATCTGAGTCAACAAGAGAAGAGACTGCATGAAGCCATGGTTCATTTCTGATGACTTACAGATCAAATGACTGTCGGAGCCAACCTGGTGTTAATGACTTAAATGTCTGCTCCTGCATTAAAACATTCATCTTGAAAACTGAATCCGAAGTGTTTGGGAAATAATCAGTTTTACTTCCATTTGTAAGGCTTAGTGCACATGTCAGGAATTTTAAATATATCTAGTGATAAAGCATTCATGTAAAGCACTTTCTAATATGGATTGTGTGCTTTTCTCTGTACTACCATTTTCTGCAGTGATATACAGAAACATTCTTTGTCTTGTTCAGCATTAGTTGTGTTGCACAGGTGTTTGTTGATGCTAGTGCACCTTCAGTAGAACTAGCGGGAGCCCACCATCAGATCCTTCCCATTATGTATGGTGGGATGTTTGGAGGACAGTGAAAAATAGTGCAGACTGAAGGCCACTGCATATTGCTGAATCCGGAAAAGCAAATGGCATGCATGATTTACTAAGAAGAAACTGCATATGTCCAGAACATGTAAAATTAATGCTAGTACATTTCAAATTGTCCTATAATTATCCTATCCCCTCTTTTTGTGAGGTTTGGCAGGGCAGGGGAGAGAAAGGAAAAATGAGTAAGGAGAAGGTAGCTCCATGTTGTAAACCATTCTGAGCACTGATAAGTGTGAACAGTATACAAAAGCAGTAAACAATAAATAAATATTACACTAACTATGAATCCTTCACCCATCATACATGCATGCATCTGACACCCAAATCCCTGAGTCAACAGATCTTTCCTTACAGCAAAATATGCCCATAATCATTGCATGTGTCAAAATGTTATGTTGAACTTCTTGAATTATTACTCCTGAAATAAACATTTTTGTTGATCAAACACATTTCAGGTACCCAATACTTGTTCTTACCACCAAATCGCTATATTTTCCATGGTGCTGAAGTTTACTCGGACTCTGAAGATGATGTCATATCCTCCAGTTCTTGTGGAAGTAGCAGTGATAGTGGGACTTGTCATAGTCCAAGCTTAGACATAGAAGATGAAAGTGAAATTGAAGAATTCTATAATGGCGTAGAAGAAGATGATGCTCCTGATAGAGAAGAGGAGAATGGATTTGGGGAAGATGGAATTGACCTTCAAGATTCTGTTGATGAGTCAGTTTCTGTAAATGAGGCTGTAGGATTTGACTGTTCAGCTGACAGGCTGTAAAGCAGTTACTGACTGGTTTCAGGAACTTTCCCACCAGCATTAGTTTTGGCATGTCAGAATGAATGTGTTACTGAATTTAGAGCAAGGAAAACAAGGATGTAATGTTTATAAACAACTAGAGTAGATTTTCATGCATAGTTTTCTAACTTTTCCAATCAAATTCTATAAAGGCACACTCAACACTAATCTTTTTTGCATTTTGAATTTTGAAGAAGGTACTAAGTATCTTTTTACTGTCACTACATTCTCTCTTATTAAGTTGATCTCTGTGTGTATATAGACAGTATTTTTGCTTAACAAATTTCAACCTGTTTTATTTTTGAACCATTTGAAAAAGCCATTGGAATGTTAATATAATATAAAGGGAACAGCTAATCTAGACCAAAGAATGGTATTTTTCACTTCTCTTGCTCTGTAACATTTTGATTTATTTAAAGCCTGCTTATGTCTCTTCTAACTTTGTTATTGCATAATCTGTTTAGACACTGGTATTTCCCCAAGGTTACTATGGCAGCTATTAAAAAAAACAAAACAAAACACACGACTCTTCATGTTGAGCATATTTGCATGTGAGCATATTGAAAATAATTAGGCGTCATAGTGAGCACCCAAAAATCTCTGACTGCTTAGATTGCTATAAAGTGCTAATTTTGAAAAAAAAACTTCCTGTGGATATGTAATAGTGCCTGCTGGCTTGTAAAATTCTTAACAGGTAAGTGTTAAATAAGAAAATTTTGGTTGGCACAAAAGAGAGGTTTGGTACAGGGAGTCTTTCTACAAAACACTTAATGTATAAAAACCTTTGTGTACACTGCCAGGATGTGAATATGTAAATGTACTGAAGGCGTGTATATAATATTAAGAATAGGGAACCAGTCTCTACCCAACTGCAGAAGTGTTTCTATACTTTTCAGTACCTTACAGAAGCATTTATAAGGAGTTGTGTATGCTTCCAATATACATACAAAAATAGAAATTTAAACACAACTTTAAAATGCCGATTAAGATTCAGCAATTCAGATCCTTCTATCTGAAGAACCTAATGCCACTTGTTCATACAGTGTTATACAAACATCAGCTACAAAAATTTGTCCCATTGCTACCACAAGTGTGGATGTCACAAGTGTTTCTGGCTGCAGATTGTTTCACCCTTCACAATTTGATTCCTACCTGTGCATTCAGTAGTAAGTTTTTGCATCTATTCTTGAAACCACTTTTCAGATGTCCCAAGAGAGCTCTACAGTTATTGAAAATTCATGTGCATTGTTTTCATATTTATTCCTTTTGAAATATGTACAGTAGCTGTCCTTTAGACAATACATCTGTTCTGTAACACAGCATAACAAAGTGTTAAGAATGGCCTTTTGTGTTCATCTGAAAAATGTTGGCATGTTTTCTCATGGTCCGAGGTTCTAAATAACAGGACTTGCTGGACGACACTAAAGAATGCAATATGTTTTGCTTTTGCTTGCATGTCAAAATGTATTTGTGCTATAGGAGATATTTTAAATGGAAATATTTTGTTTTTAAATTATTTTTACAGTGTGGATTATTTTCTGCTTTTATATTGTATATAGTGTCTTTTATGTAACCAATTGGCAAGTTTTGTAGAAGACAGTTTTAAAATGACCCGGCTCTCTTCCTGCAACTTTTCAAATACAAAACCAGTGTTTTATACTCGTACAGTCTGTTTTAAAGTCTATTAAATTGTCTTTTAACTTTTGGTTGCTGTTAAGAATGTGTGTGCAAAGCCTCTCACTCCTCACATGAAATGCTTTGTTTTCCCAATAGATCATGACCTAAAATACAGCTTGTGTGAGGTGCTTCCTCCCACATCATCCCTGTCCAAACAATGAATTTTCTTGCAGTGAAAAATGATACTGAAAAGGAAGTTAGAGCTGAGCTTAACATGACCAGATGTTTTTGATCTTTGAGCAATTTAAACTCAAGCTATCAAATGCCTTAAATTTTAATTTAGGGAATACTAGGACCACTGAAGATGTAATTGGTCAACTTCGTTATAGCAGCTAAAACTACCCTATGGGCTTACGTGCTTCTCCCTTCACAAATCCTTGCATATCAATTCTTGGAGTGAAGGGGCATATAAACTTTAGGTCCTTATTTAGACCTAAATAAATAAATAAATAACAGAGGGAGTTCTGTTTCACATTTCTGTGCAAATAAGAAACTGGAAACTAGTAACCAACTTGAGCATTTTTATCTCCTAAGCATGGTTATATCAAATATTAGACTGGACTTTTTTCATACACAAGGCCCTTTTTCTGTGTTTGCTACACGACACGGTACGACTAGAATCACTGTGCCATCGTAACGGAAGAGTTGGGCCAAGAAGGCCACTGTGTCCAACCTCCTGCTCAGTACAGGCCTCCAAGTACCACTATCCCTCTCAGATGTCCAGCTGCATCTTGAATAGTTCTAGTGTGGAGGAGTCCACAACCTCCTTAGGTGACTGGTTCCATTGTTGTACTGCTGTAACAGGAAGTTCTTCCAGATGTTCAGCTGGAATCTGACTTGCTGTAACACAGAACCCATTCTGTGTCCTGCACTCTGGAGTGATTGAGAAGAGCCCTGGCCACCTTTTAAATACTTGAAGACTGCTATCCTATTTCAGTCTTCTCAAGGCTAGAGTATAGTGGGCTCCACAGAGTAAACTATGCCTCCATACTGGGTTGCACAGGGATTGTCCAGTCTTCTCCATTTTTCTCTCGAGCTCCTCCATCTCAGAAAGGGTTAGCTCTAGATTTATGCTGGATCAATTATATTGATGGAAATGACATTCCTGTAGCTTCCCATGGTAACCCCTCTACACCCCTGAGAAAACAATGCAATACAAGAGGCTCTTTTTGAATGAAATGACCTATGGGGAGAACCCCTAAAACTGGGTGGAGGAAACTTCTGTGAATGGGGACTTTCTTTTTATGGAACTTTCATAGAAGGCAGATCCTAAATCCAATCCAAAATCAAGCATACTGCATCCCAGCAACTTGCCAGCTGCTGAGACCTTTGCATTATTCCTATGGCAGCCATTTCCACAGGAAACCTAATTTCACATGCTCCAGCCTTTAAAAACAGCATGTCTGGTGGGTAGTATTGTCCCAGTATTTTTAAATGATCAAGAACTATCTTTTGAGCAGCCATTGTAAGGATTTCCTTCATAAAGCTATGATTTCAGGAATGAGAGAACCACATGTTCTAGTGCTTTATTTTTTTATTTGTGTGAACTAAAGTGAATTAAGATATTCATTCAGCTGCAATGCAGTGTGTAGAGGAAATCCACCATGTCTCAGCATTATATTTTTCATATAAAATTACTTTCATGTACTGTGTAAAATTTGATGAGTCAGCCTGGTATCAACCAAACCATAACTTATACTGCGTAACTATAACTTTTAAGCTATTTAGGTTACTTCCAGATGGAGTTTTTAATAGCACATTGTTCTATTTCATTCCCTGGATTTTACAATGGATACTGATGAAGCCATCCATTTGTTTTCCAAGCCTCTTCTGCATTTTTTTTTCTTGTCAAAAAATATGTCCACTAATGGGGCAAACAGAGCTGCATGATAACATTTTGAATAGAAGACATCTTTAGACTTTTCTCCTGCCCTGTGTATATGAGCTGTGCAGAAATGGCCAAACTTTTAAAAACAGGACTCCTGTACCTGGATAACTATAAAAGAGAGACGGAGAGATAAGATATACTGCAAAGGTTTGAAAGGATTGGCATCTGCCTACATCCCTACATGTCAATTTTGTACATTAGCACCTGTCGGGAAGTCATAGTTGACAAAGGAATTGCATGCAGCCAATGAGCAGGCTTGCAGAGAAGGGACAAAACACTGCATTCTTCCCCTGCACTTACCGAACATACCAGGATGGATCCAGAGAAGTGCAGTGGACTGCTGAAAGCTTGCCAGCCTGCCTGGACCAGTCCCCAGCAGCCTAGTGAACACAGCGGGCTAGTCACCTTTGCGGGTTTATTTACATGGCTGTCACATGTATACAACCAAGGTAAAGGATGCTGAAGGAGAAGGAAGATGGATTTAGGAGGGGAGGCATTTTCTATTCATCCTCTGCCTTTATCACATGACATACTCCATTGTGCAGCATTTTTATTTACTTACAGCATTTTCACCCTGTTTTCAATTGAAAAAGCTGCTAGAGCATTTTGTTGTAGTAATAAGACAGTCCCTGCTCTCAGGCTTACAATCTTACATACAAACTAGGAGGGAAGAAGACAGAAAAGCAAAATTCCGGCACTAGTTCTTAGTTCCAAAGTTCTTATAGAATCCAAGAATCATAGAAGTAGAGTTGAAAAGGACCACATGGTGGCCAACCAGCTTTTTGCATCCATGTAGGGCTTCTGGTGCTACCTATTAGAAGGCACTGTTCTTATCAAAAGGCGACACATTTTTTTTTTACCCTCCAGGTCTGCTTGCCCATTATACAGCAAACAGAAGTCACTGTGCACCTATTCCAGCTCCCCACACAAGAAACGTTCTGCTGAAAGACGTAGTGAGAAAACATGGGAAGTTACAAGGTCTAATGAGTGAGGATTGATTCCCTGTGAAATTCCGAGAATTAGACAGGGCAATTACTAGATAAAAGCTTATAGAAGTACTCTACATGGACAAGTCTGGAATAACTCAGCCTCTGCATCACTGTGAAGAAGTGCGGTGGAAGGGAAGGGTTCAGCTTTTCCCCTTCCTAGGCCTCCTGTTTTGGGATAGCCTGAACAGGCTGAGATGATTTAACACCTTCTTATCATGTTTAGCTTGGCAGTTCTGTTCCAAGGTCATTTGGCCCTCCAGCTAAATAGGCCCTGATATCTCTCTGCTGGAAGGGCTCTAGGATAAATGTGACTGAAACTTGGTGGTATGACTCCAATGAGAAGAACAGAAGGAACAGAAAAGGAAGCAGAGTTGCATTATGTGTTAAGGATGCATAACAATGCATGGAAATGTAGGGAGATTATACATTCAACAAAACAGAGAACAGCAAAAGCATTTGAGGATTAACATAAATGGCACAGAGAACAAAAGGAGCATGGTGGTTGTAGTCTACTGCTGACCACCCAATCAAGAAGAAAACAAGGATGAAACTTTTGAAAAGCAAATTGCCAATGTTCCTAGAAGGCAAGTAATGGGCAACTTACATTTCCCCTATATCTGTTGGGAGGCAAACGCTGTCAAACATGGTTCCTTCAAGAAATGTCTGATTTACATTTTCAAAACCCCTCCTACTGAGACAGGAAGAATGAGCTCCAAGTTCAGCTCGCCTTGACTTGATTCTAACCAGTGATGGCGACCTCATGAATAAAGTGCCAGTCATGGGAATTCTGTGGAAAGTGATTCTCTCATATGTGAATTCTTGACTCTAAAGGAAGCAAAAGCCTAAGTGTAGCCAAATAGGTACCCTGGATTTTATTTATTTATTTATTTATTTATTCATTCATTCATTCATTCATTCATTCATTCTATTGGTATCCTGCCTTTTCTTACAAAGAACTCAAAGCAGCTTACATCATTCTCCTTCTCCTGCTTTAAATCTTATCCCCAAAACAAAAACTACCCTGCGAGGTACGTTGGGCTGAGAGTCTGAGACTGGCCCAAGGTCACCCAGTTGGCTCCATGGCCAAGTGGGGAATAGAACTCAGATCACCTGAGTCCCAGTCCCACATTTTTAACCACTACAACACACTGGTTCTTTTAGGAAATTTTAAGAAAGCCAATTTCAATAAATGCAGAACAATGGTATGTAAGGTCCCGAGGCAAGTAACTCTAATAAGAAAAGGAGTCCCATATGAGTGGGAATATTTTTTAAAAGGCACAATTATACACCATTTCAACAAGAAAAACAGGTAGATCACAAGAGAAGTTGATGTGGCTTCACACAAAGCTTGCTCCAAGCCCCCTGATCATTGTATTGCCCTTCTCTGTATTTTTTCCAACTCAATAATGTCCTTCTTCTGGTAAGACAACCAGAACTGAACACAATATTCCAAGTGCAGTCGCAGGAAAGATTTGTATAAGGTAAGTAAGATTTTGGCAGTTCTATTTTCTATTCCATTCCGAATGATGCCTAGCATGGGGTTTGCCTTCTTCAGAACAGCTGCACACCCAGCTGACATTTTCATCAAGTTGTCCTCTGCTACTCCAAGATCCCTTTTTTGCTCAGGCACTGCTAGCTCAGATCCCATCAGAGTATACTTGAAATCAGGATATTGCATTTGCCATTTCGACACCCATTTTCCCAGCCTGGGGAGATCTCTTTAAGGAAAGCTAAAGCCTCAAGAGAAAGAACGGGTGGGGTATTGCAGGGCTCTATCCTGACCCCAATGTTGTTCCACATTTTATTAAAGATTTGGATGAGGAGGTGCAGGGAAAGTGTTGTACCTGAGTGCAAGAAAAAAAAGCTTACCAAAGACGTAATGGGCAAAGATTGCTTAGAAGGTGTAAATTAAAAGATAAAACTTATTGCTAAAATCTGCTTCTGTATATCTGCTTCTGCTTCTTGCTTAATTGCTGCTATGTGATTCTGTAACTCCCCATTGTCGCCATTGTTCTGATTTCTGCCAAAAACTGATTGTATTGTTTCCCATTTACCGAAAACTCACTGTGAAGCTATAAAAACCTCATTCAAACTCCACCCGGTACCGCATTCTAACCATGAATGTTGGTCCCTGCAAGAAATCTTGCAGGTAATAAATCTCCT